TAAAACAAACTGTATACAATTTATTTAAAAATAAATTATGTCATAACTTTTAATTTGTCCCACAAAAATTATTTTTTGCAGAATTTTTAATTCATTTTTGTATTCAGAACCATTTTTAAGTATAAAATTTAAAAAAAAACCAGTAACGGTCAAAATGACCGCTTTGGGCATTCTAGGTCATGAAAATTTCGGGGCGTTCTAGTATTAAATAAAGTTGTAGCAACCTGAAATTTTTTTCTGTAGTAGTTTTAGACGACTATAACGAAAAATAGAGAATGAATAGTATGATGAATTTATTTAAGCTCAATATTTATTACATTTTGGTGATTTTTGTCGTCTATAACGTAAAATTCCCATTAGAATTAAAATTATTAGTACAAGAAATTAAGAAATAAAAGACGTAGTGTGCAAGTATCTATCTAAACAGATATCTATTATCACAAATCATGTTTCATTTCTATACCATTTTCACATATTGATTTTTCAAAGACAATTGCCGTAATAAAAATAATAATAAATTTCAACAAAATACTGAAAATAAAAAGAAAACAATCAAGTAAATGTAACTTAAAAAACGAGTGTCTCTCTTTGTTTTTTTTTTCATCTATTTTTCGAGAAATTATTTCATTTTTATACAACAGTGTTTTTCATTCACAGATTTTATTGAGTTTAAAATTATTTTTACATTTGAACAAGATATTTAGAACACGAAGTATGTACACACAATTTTGTGTACGTTCTTGTTTTTGTTTTCTTTTGTTGTTTGATGTTACTGTAACTATATTACTAAGAAAAACTGTGTATAAAAATATTTAATATAATATCGTGATAAAATTCTCATTTGTAAAGGCACACCTGAAGTGTGCCTTTACAAATGAGGAAAATAGCCAATAAATATATAAGAAAAATAAAAGATCGATTTTATTGAAACAATAAAGACACCTTTTTATTTTATTCTGAGTTGTCCATGTGTACACAATAATTATGAGAAAGCAATTTAAGAAAAATAGAAAATACTCCTCCTGTCTTGAATCGTAATAATAATACAAAAAAAGAATTTTTATACGAAAATAAGAAGCAGCGATGACTTTCGCTGATTATTATTCTTTAAAAGAAAATCCAAAATGAAGCAAACTATTTTATTTACAGACAGAGAGATACTAACTTTTTCTCCCAGAACAAATGAGAGTTCATGATTTTTTTCGTTCTCAGTTTTGATGCAAAATTAACTAAACTAGAAAATAGAATTTTAGAATGAAGATATAGTGATGTCTGTTCTTTTTGTATAAATACACGTTGAGGTAAATTTAATAGACTGAAAAGCGTTAGAGTAATGAAGTGGTTCTTAATAAACAAGAAACTTATTAATATACACAACATTTAAAAGAAAAATAATAGCATAACTCTTTTTGCTGATGGTATCAACAAAAACGAGCGAAGTCGTGAATTCTTTAGCTATTTTTCAGTAATAGTCTATGATTTATAACTATCACTTGGTTATTCACTTTATTCACCGCAATCACTTTCTTTTAAAGACATTAATCGAGTGAGTGAGATAATTAGAATGTGTTAAGTGATGTCGAGTTTGCATTTGTACTTCTATCTTCCAAATGATTAAAAGATTTCTGATGAAAGTTAGTCATTCTAAGGTAATTCTTGATCCTGATTACGAATCCGATGTTTGTTGAAATTCATAGGGATTTATTATTACCAGTTTCCAGAAATCTAGACTGTATGAATCGACTCCACAGTTTCTTTTTAATAGTCTCTGACACCGTCAGTTTGTGGAGGCACTTAAGTTACATATATGAAAAAACTTCTTGACCTATCGAATTAATTTTTATTGGACAGATCTTTGGGATAGGTCTTCAGAGACGAAATTTCTGGAGACAGGTAATAAAAATCCTCATAGGCTCGAATGAATGTCAGATTCGTGATCAGAATCAAAAATATCTTCTAAAAATGTATATTTGTATGTTTTGTATGAAAAATGTATAAAATGTATGTTTTGCTAAAATATGGTTTAATCACCTGGAAAGGTTTCCTCGTTGAATACATGTAACATCAAGAGAGTTTTATCCTTCATCGACATTTGTACTTTGGAAAAAAGACGGTCATGTTAGACAATAAAATATGACACATAAAGACATTCAAAAGTTGGAATGATTGAAAATATTCAAGTAAGTACGAAAAGGTATACAAATGTAAAAATAAGATAATATGATCATTACGAGACGCCCCGTCCGAATGAATGAAAAACCTTCATAAAATTTGAAAATACTTCTATTTTGAGCTGCAGATATTACATAATTGCCGACATTGGTGGTCAGTATCCTCACGCCTTTTTTAGCTAGGTAGAGCTTTCAGAGTACTTACAATGGATATAACTTAAACATGGAATCATGCAAAAAGTTCGAAGACGACAGTGAACACTTTTTCTCTAGAATGAATATGCTGTAGTTTGAGATTATTGCGTTTTATTCGTTAGAGGTAATAAAGGAATAGAAGTGAGCGTGATGATTTATCAATATCTCATAATATAAGATCAGATAGGGTTACTTTAGAATAAAATCCAAAATATTCTACTCTAAACGATTTTCTAGAAAATAATTGGATCTTTGACTTGATTCCTCATCTCGCTCATCTCTGATTGAACATATGCATTGAATACGAAGAGTTGTAAAATACAAACTACGATGGACATGTCCAAGCGTCTTGTGTAAAAGAAAAGAGTCTCGGAATTCTCGATAAGAGTGAACTGTGAGACGAGCTTTCTGTCTTAAACTATGTAGGTAGAATCCATAGTACAAACAGCGGAAGTATTTGTGTCGCTCCGAATATTGCTGATGATCTGCTTCTAGAGAGTGGTACTTCATACTTCAAAGCTATCTTTGTTCAGTGAATATGCTCAACCAAAGAGGAACGAGCTCCTGTGACATCTCGTCTTCAGAAGTCTAATTCTTTTTCAAAAAAAATCATCCATCCTGATTCATCCTTATTACCTCATCCGTGATAGTTTTTGTTAAATTGCATTCACTTGTCCATTTACTTTTGTCCTTTAACCTTAAAAGTTTTTTAAACAATTTAATTTAATAAAAAAAATTTCTGATGTATTTCGTAGAAAACACTCATTTACAGTAAGTGTTAAACAGGAAAAAATGAAAATCACGAACACTCACTGATGCCAATCATGATTTTGTTGTTTTTTAAAAGTTGTTCTGTTTGTTTTATTTTCAAGTGGGCAGATAGAAAGTAAAAAACGTTTTTTGATGAAATAAAATGAGTTAGAATAATAAAATTAATTTAATATATCAAAAAATGGTTATCGATCCCGTTATACAACAAAAATTTGAACAAAATTTAAGATGGAAAAAAAGGTGGCCGAGATGTTTCTTTGGATTGGCAGCTACGATAGAAATCATCCTAACAGTAGTAATTCTTGTCACAGAAGTTTTCAATGTTATCACAGATTTTTGGTATATGAATGTTTTCGGAGGAGTTTGGGGCTCAATTATTTTGTTTATTAACTGGATAATACTATTTACGACAGGTAATTTGTTTCGTTATACTTCTCTACGTCCATTAGCGTTTGATCTGAACAGTTTATGGAATCTATTTGTCGATTGAAAATACTCATGTAGTCACCTTTCAGAGAATTTCTGCGTTAAACATTAAAATAACGCAAAAAGGAGCGATTTGCATACAAAAAATTAAAGTTTCTTGCAAAAAAAGCTAATTAATGCAGAATTTTATATCAAACTTTTTGTGGAATGTACAGAATTTTGCAATAATTCCATCTTTATAGCCATTTTTTGCATTCCCCCAGTTATGTTTTTGCGTGATTCACGTGATTCGCGCAAAAAAATTTTGTTTTTGGCGATATGGGTACTTGTTCACTCTTCATAAAAAGACTTCAAATGTGCTGTCGATCAATCATTTCTTGTATTGTTTTTTAGTCTGTTGTTCAACAACTTTTTTTGCATCAACGTGTTCACTAGTCTGGAATTTTATAACACTTATTACCATGGCGGTCCTAGTTGCTTTCGATATCGTATTTATTTTAAATCCGCATACATGTGTTTTAACATCCACGTGTACAACACAGTCAGAGTTAATTTCAGTACAATCTGTTATGAATAGTATAACACCGTTTAAAAACTATACAATTTATGATTCTAAAAAGCTGTTCTTAGAAATTCAAGTGGGTTGTGCTGGTCTGGCACTGCTTATATCGCTCGTTTATATCATTATTTACTATATTTGCAAAACTAAATTCAAAAATCAAACTGCTACTGCTACTGCTACCACTAGTGCAGTAAAACAAGATAATTATGTCGATTATCCAGCACCGCAACCGATTAACAGGCCCATACCGGCTTATCCTGTGCCTCAATATCCTGTACCTCAATATCCTTTGCCTCAATACCCCCTTATTACAGGACAAAGTCCCTATGCACCCCCGTTCTAAGAACAATGATACATAAGATCTACGAAAATCATGTTACTCCATTTTTTTACTAGATTTTCTTCTGGATGTTGTCAATTCACTATAGAGATTTTGATATGTGTGTAACACGAAAAAAGGTCTTCATCTTGTAAATATATGCACTATACCCTAGATAAAATTCTGCGCACTTTTTGTCTATTCCCTACTAGGATCTTACAGGATCCTAACATTTAGGATCCACCGAATAACTTCCTAGCAGGATCCTAAAATGCTAGGATCTTGATCCTACTAGAATTTCGCTAAAGTTTGTTTAGGATCCTAACAGAATCTTAGAAAATCCTATGACTTTTGGGTATACCTGATTTCATTAAGATGTAGGGCTGTGCTACGATTCTAAGAAATTAAAGCGAAATCCTAGTAGGATACTGGCATGATATGTCCCAGATACTGGCAGGATATGCCCCGGATCCTCTCAGAAAACCCACAGGACTTTTACTAGGGTATAGTCTACACCATTTCAAAGATGGGAGCAGATCAATATACATCGTCTTTTTTTTAAGATATTAATCTTGTAAAATTGGAATAACATGGTACTATACAACAGCTGTTTACACTTTTTAACTTATAATTTTTTTACACAATAAAACGGAAATCATATTCTTCAGTTTTTTTACTACAGAAAGAAGGGTAAGGAAAATCTGAAATAAGTATCCAGTAGAATTTCAATTAATTCTTGCTCAGAAATCTGAACCGGATTCGATATTTAGTCTTACCGGCAGATAGTGCAATCAATGAATACAGCGGACAAAGGACAGGCTCCCATGTCGTCAAAATTGGCAAGGAATTAATCAGCCACTTAATTGTTAAAAGTTAGTCTATATTTCGAACGTGGATTATCATTAGGATAGTCGAAGTCGTACAGTAATCAATATAGTCGACGGATATTTCGATTAACAAAAGTGGTATTATTAGCACAGTGTGTAGAATGATACGTGGAATTTGAATTATATTGCTGCGCTATCAACAATATTCTTGGTTTTACGACTAAACTCGAATAAGTTGAGAAAAAGAAGCTGTAAATCTGATTATAGAATATCTTTCTGTGGTTATTCATGTTTTAAGTTGATCGTACAGAATTTTTAGCCCAAAATATCTTCCATCACTTGTGATCAGCTAAAATATCTTGTTTTCTTTTTAAAAGCAAGATTCGGCACTTTATTTTGTATGTTTTGCCAAACAGTCGCGAAAATGTGACATCCTTTGATTATCTGGCAAAGTTTGGTCTCCTTCTTTCCACACTACAATTCATTTATTTTGGATTTCTTCTTTACGGTTCAAACGTGGTATCTGTAAGAAAAGTTCGTATTTTTCTGCATGAGAAAACTTATTATTTATAACAGAAAGTTCTTGGATATTTATTTTTGAGAGACAATGAAGAAATTTTGTTTGATCACAATGGTTGATGATTAAAAAAAGAAAATATTTTGACACATACGTTCTCTCTGCGAATAAGCAAATATACATAACAAGAGAAAGTAAAGAAGAATGTACAAAGTAAATGTATAGCCGCACATTAGTCATTGCTTTTCTCCTTCTTTAAGACCAAAAAAACGATTTCTTTATGTACCATAACAGAAGAAAAAGAAATATGCTTGGCGCTGAGGACGTAAACACAGCTACAATTAATACAGAAGGGAACAATATTACGTCTTTTTTTGACTCTTTCTTCTCTCGAGCGTGAGTACATCTACTAATTAATACTGCACAACACATTTACGAGAGGCAGACCTGTTTACTGTCCTGGAGATTCTGGCTTCTAATTTTTAGCCGTAAACACAACAAATTGCACACATTGTCTTTGAAACACGGACGTGACATTCAGAAACATAGACGATAAAAGTTTTTAGTTTCATTGTATAATATTTAAACAGCAACGATTGTATTTCAGTAATCCCATGATTTCAACACACCTGCGTTTATCGAACAATACGCTGCCAGATCGCAAAAATCCTATGATAGAATCCTTTCCACTATCCATTCTAATACATTATATCTGTGAGAGTAACAGAAATAGATTCTCCGGCATGCATGTCAACATAAAGAAAAATTGCTACTATTCTCTATTGAAAATGGTACGATTTATATTCGACTACTTCTTGTTGTAATAGCCCATAATAAAAATCATGTAGAATTCTGATTGTAAAACCTCAATAGGAAACATTACACATTCTTATCGTAGAACTAGTACGTGGTTAGTGAAGTGTGTATGGGGAGCTCAAGTAATTGGGCGAAAAGAACTCTATGTCAGGCTAGCCTTCTGGACAGAGCTTCAGTTGATGACTAGTAACGAGATGGGTGACCATTTCAGAAGCTTGTCAACTGCAAGGAAGATATCGGGTTATTAAAACTACCACGGCAGCACCCTACAGCGGTAATGGTAGCCGCAAGGCGGGGTATTCTTACTTCTTCCTTATCGTAGAAAGCCTCGACTTTGTTCTATGATAAGATTTGGTAGCATTTCATCGCAGGATTCTATGTGATTTCTAGAATTCTCATACATAGATTTGTATACCTGAGTTGGCTTTTTGTTTTAAACGTTAAAAATACTCCTGTAAATTTCAGATAACTAGGCGTTTAGTTCAAAAACATCTTATTCAATAGAAAACACTATGTCTTTGAAAGATTACATTTGACGCTGTATTGCTCTCTTGTCACATTTTATTTTATTGAAAATAAAATTCTTCTCTAAGGGTAATATTTATGTTATTTCTTTGCATATGTGTTTAACCTTGCATCGCAAAAATGAAAACTAAAAAGCAACTCCACAGTGACTAGTGAATTGTTACACTACAGAATTATCTGCAGAAAATCGTTTTGTACTTTCTTCATCAATAATTCTTTTTGTTTTTAAATATTTCGATCTTAATTGTTTTCTTAAAGTTCAATAATAATTTGTGTGCATTTTCTCAGAATTCAGTGTAGAAGACTTTTAGAATCTTTCGCTGTACCTTTGTTTTGAAAATTTCGATAAATCCAAGAACGCTGAAGGTTGACGTGGGAGAATAATAATATTAGGTAATTTATTTTGTGACATAGCTTTGAAAGGATATACGTTGTGAAAATCATACGTGTTTACCTTCGTTTCATTTCTTGACTAAAATTATATTTATACAAAATAAAATTATGCATTTACTCCAAAATATGTTACACCAACACATTCCATCTGACACATTTTTTCTTCTCTTCTCTTTTTCTATTTACAGATTTCGTTATTCCTCTTTGTGTATGATTTTTTTAAGACGATCGAAATATAATTAAATTAAAAATATAGGTACTTATCATGTTTCATTAGAAGAATCAATTATCATAAACCTCTAAAGTCAACTTAATAATAAAATGAAATAGGTATAGTAGAATGTATCGTCAATTATCAACATATTATCAGTATCAATATAATGAAGATAGTTCATTCCATCTATAATGATGGTTTATTTCGTTTAATAATAATAACATCACTTGTATGTGGTCTTGAATTTTGTACATCAGCTGCATTCTCATACATTCCTCCATTGCTTTTAAAAGCTGGTGTATCAGACTCACTTACAACATGGTTGATGGGTTGTGGTCCACTTATGGGTTTTATACTTTGTCCAGTTGTTGGACATGCAAGTGATCGATGTCGATCACGTTTCGGTCGACGACGTCCATTTATTCTTGGATTTTGTATAACAATAATATTCTGTTTAATACTTATGCCACAAAGTGAATCAATAGGTATACTTAGAAGAAGAAAAACGAACTTTATTTACATACTATATATAAATGAACGTATCTCTTTTCTAGGACAATTATTAGATTCTCCAAAATTGGGTTTGATATTATTAATAATAACATGTGTACTATTTGATTTTGCATCACAAGCATGTTTTAATCCATGTGAAAGTTTAATATATGACACATGCAAATCAACTCCACAGGAAGCATCCTGTTTTTTTGTTTATTCTTTTATGACATCATTTGGTGAGTAGAGATATCTTTTAATATTTGATACTCAAAAATACTTTCACTGCGAGGAGAGACAAACAGAACCGAATTTCACAAAAGAGAGTATATTTAATATATTCGAATAAGAGAGACTAAAAAATTTTCTTTAACTTTTAAAGTGTTATCAAGTTTTGATTACAGGTGGGTGCTTAGGATATTTGATAACTGCTTATGATTGGTCTCAATCTTGGTTAGCTTATTATATACACGGACAAGAAAAGATAACATTTATTGTAATATTAACATTTTTTACACTTACACTTTGTTGTACACTGATGACAGCTAACGAAAAATCTTTTACTGATGCTACTATCGACGAACAGTTACTAATAGGTAATGAACAACAACATTTAACGTCAACGTCCTCATTAGATATGACGATATGGTGTAAAAATATTGATTTTCTGTTATTTAAAGTAATTATACGAATCGTAAATGTTTTCGTACAATTAATTATTTATCTTATTTTAACTATTGTCAGTTCGATAAGAACGATTATAACAATGCCATTTGTATTACGACGATTAGCGTTAGCTGATTGTCTATCATGGTACGTGGAATTTTTATTAACAACTAAACTATCTATCTGTAATAAAGACGCAGAATCGAAATGAAAGCAAAATGCCCCATATTAAGAAGTCAAGCTCATAAAAAGTTATATAGTGGCATTTTTCTACATTCATCAATAACATCCGAAAAAAAATATCATTTAAACTTCGAATTTTTTACAAAAAGTTTTATCTTATACAGATTTCTAATAAAAGACTTTTGTTCTTGTTTCTAGGTCAGCAATAATGACATTTAATTTATTTTTTACAGATTACGTTGGTCAAACAGTCTATGGTGGAGATCCAAGCTCACCAGAATTCTCAGATGAACGTCAATTATATGATGCTGGTGTTCGTGCAGGATCGTTTGGATTGTTATTTCATTGTATTGTCGGTGCCGTTTATGCCCCTATTTTAAAACCGTTAATTTATTATTTCGGTATTCGTTTAACATTCTCATTTGGAATGTTTGTGTTCGTTATATCAATGTTCGTTATGTATATGTCCAGAAATATAATTATTGTTAATGCAATGGCATCGTTATCCGGATTAGGAATGGCATCATTGACATCAATACCATATACTCTCGTGATGTTATATCATTCTAACAGAGAGGTATGTGTTATAATAATTAAAATAAGAGTGCACTGAATAAACGACACAAATTTTAATTAGACTTTTTATATAATTCAGGATATTTATTTGATTTCTAGGTATTTTTTGCAGATAGTATAACAATTCAAAATCGTGGAATTGGAACAGTATTGGGTATTATTGATAGCACCTATTTTGCATCTCAAATAATTTCATCTGTTTTAATGGGTTATATCATGCTCATTTTTAAATCAACATTATCCTATATTGTGACTAGTTTCTTCTTAGGAATCTTTTCGATCTATTTTATTAATCGAATCGTTATTAAACCACCAAGTGGAACAAAAAATTTAATATCACCAATTTACATTCGATCTTAAACAAACATTCCATGGATCTTGTCAAGTGAACCTGATAATAATTGTAATCTATTATACAATATCCGTGCCATTGATACTGAGATGAAATAAACGAAGCAGATGATAACAAAAAAACAAAATAAAAATCAACAAAATTGCGTCTGTAATTACTTAACTAGAAGAAATAGATTTGTACCACATCTATCTTCATCATTTATTTTGTGTTTGTGATTTAATTTTTTATTGTTCATTTTATGAAGAATTACTTTTTTTAATTTCAGTCTTTTTTACCTGAATAAAGAGAGAGAGGGAGAGATTTTAGTATACAAAACATATATACACATTTCACAAAAACTTGTTGTCAACATATTAAAACTTAAAAATAAATAAAATTACTATCTAACGAAGAGATTACAATTCTGCAAACATTTTTGTTAATTCATCAAATATTTGTTTTGAATCTGCATGATTTTTATATAATTCTAATGAACTTTTTATTGCACGAAAACTACTTTGTAAATCACCTTGCTAAAAAAAAGTCAAAAATTAAACATAATAGATGAATCAATTAATGTTTATTTTCTTTTACTTGATGCATAGATTTAGCATAATTATATTGTGGTTCAAACATATGTGGTGCAAGACTTTGAGCTGTTTGAAGATAAGCACGACCCTTTTTTAAAAATGAAACAAAATTAAAATTTTATGATCTTTTTTTTTTTTCTGTTGTTTTCTATCTCGATCGTAAAAAAAACTTACAATATCTGTATTGTTACGTTGAAGTTCTACTAATCCAAGATTATTGTACGCTTCTGCATGATCATTATTATAAACTAAAGCCAAACGAAAACATTGAATAGCCAAATTTACTTCTGTTGTATACTAAAAAATGTTACACATGATTAGAAAACATTGATGGAAAATAGATATATATTAACAAGATTCTACTTACCAATGCAATTTCTCCAATATTAAACCAGATATCTGACCGTTCAATGTCTTCATTTGCACATGAAAGTGCTTTCAAAAAACAAGCAATAACCATATCAAATTGTTGTGAATAAAAACAGCATAATCCAATATTAGTGAATATAGCTGAATTAACACAACCTATTTGTAATAATCTTCGATAAAATTTAAGAGAAATTTCTGGTTGATCAGTGTAAAAATAGTTCGCTGCAATACATGCAATTGCTTCAACATTTGTATTATCAAGTTTCAATACGTGTCTAAAAGAAAATGATATTAATTTAGTAACAATTTATGGTCTCAAAATAATTCTTCCATACCGATATTGATTCATGCAATTTATTGTATCATTCAATCCCTAAAAAAAAGAATTGTATAGTTTTTTTTTTCAACACTTTCTAATTATTACGTTCATAACTAACCTCATAAATACGGGCCATCGCTTGAACAAGAAAGGGCTCTTGTGGAAATTTTGTTAAACCATCGGTAAGTTTCGAAATGGCAAGTAAAGGTTGATCCAAACGAGTATATACTTTACTTATATACAAATAGATATCGACCATTGGTTGAATATCAAGTGCAGACAAATAATTTTTTTCAGCATCACGAAACATTCCTAAACTTAAAAAAATAAACAATGACAAAATGACAATAATTAATATTTTTTTTCTTAATTCAAATAATTACCGATGATAGCATTTTCCTAATTGTACAAGCCAATACCAATCTTTATTTTCTGTTGCTTCGTTTGCTAATCTGGCTAATTGTAAAGCCTGAACAAATATAATGATAAGAATATCTGCTGTATAAGACTGTTCATAATCGATAAATGCTTACACTTCCAATATCATTTACATGATAAAATAAATGTTCAAATAATGGTCTTGCAAGTGCTTGACTCTTGGCATATTTTTGAAAATTAAGTCGAGCTACTTGAATAAATGGTCCATCTGGCGAGGAAAGCATGGAAGCCTACAAAAAACACAATATTTACATTGAACTTGTCATAACATCCTGTTATCACTGTTTGTGAGGAAGTAGGGTGTGACTAGTAATCTCTATAATTTTCGTTTTTCTTAAAGACAACGCATTTGTCTTCTTAAAGCTGGTATTAATCGCTTGTAGCAAACACAATGACTGCGCTTAAATACGAATCGCGCGCGATATGTAAAATATTCTTCGAAAATATCCAGTGTACAAACTGATTGTCTTGACAACTATTTCTAAAAAATTATATTTGTTTAATTTTTTAACTTTTAAACATTGACTATTTTTTTTCAAAAGATAGTATAATTATTAGACTAGTTTACATAAAATGAGTTGTGTTTCTGGCTCAGCTAGTTTAGAAATCTCATCATCGTCACAAAATCCTTCATTACCATCCAATGGTTCTTCTCAGACATCGAGTAGTAGCAATAAAACGTCAATAAATCCAATAACTGGTTATTTAAAAGATCATTTTAATATAAATTTTATCGATTGTAAATGCTGTTGTGATGCCTCAAAACAAGTGTCAAGATGTGAAACTGGTACATTAGAAATTTTACGAGATATTCAAGAATATATTCATTTACCAGAATATCGTTTAAATTGTCGATGTATGTGTGGGGATGAGAGATTAAATTCTTCGATTAAATTTGGACTCAAATTAACGCCCTCGAATGACTTAAAATGAATTCAACTAAAATCTATATGTTTAAAATTCGTTTTCTTATTACAGACAGTATGCATGAACAAATACGAAATTTGATATCAAATTAAATGTTAACACTGAAGAATTATCTTATTTATATATTTATTTGCGTAAACAAAGACAAGACTCTCTCTCTCTCTCTCTATATATATATATACAATAAACTATGTGATAGTACACATATCCTGCAGTTGAATAAAAGTTTTAGATCATGATTATCCATTTAGGATATGTTCTGTATTTTTCGACTGACTACTTTTCTGGAAACAAAAACAAACTTACAGTTCCAAGACGCATAAAGCGTCCAGTCGAAGTTGTCACTGGTCTCGCTGCAGTTGACGTTCTCGCTGTTTTTAAGGCGTTTTCAACACTTTTTCCTTGAGTTGATTGCGTGTTTAATCGTATCATACCAGTAATCGGTCTCCCTGATTGAGTCATCGGACTAAAGTATCGATATTATAACACAGAAATATTGTAAACACAAAAGAACAAACATCACATACCGCATAGCCGGACTGGGTCCGGTTGGTCCTGCAGTTGCATTTGGATTTGCTGTTGGTTGTCTCATTGATGTTCCTGGAAGTGGTATATTGGCGAAGGCATTCTCATCTAATAAATCCGCTAAACCGTCATCAGCGGCTTCTACTTCGTCTACATAAAGCTGTTCAGTTAATGCTCGCATTTTCAACAACCAGGCCGTCTTTGAAAGAAAAGTAAAACACAAAAATTTTTGCATGTATCTCCTACAGCTTGTCATTCATCATATGAACCTCAAATATTAGCAAATAACATTCTCACAGACCACATCTGAACCCAGTGTCTTTAATGATTAGTGGGTCTCGCTTGAACAAAATGGGTTTTCACTTTGAAAATTCGATTTCCACTTTGTTTTTAGCAGGGAAAACATAGAAAATGCCGTGGTAAACTGTGGAAACCAACTTTCCTTAAAATTTCTATTAAAAACACTGTCTGAACCTGCTTATTTAATTGTATAAATTATAACAAGCTGAACGATAAGTGCTTGCAAAGGAGACGATGGTTTGCAGGAGGACTGAAGTCTTATTTGTCCTAGATCTTTCCTGGATAATAAGACAACTGATTTATTTTCGTGTGCAAAAACTCATACTTGATCATTTGGATTTTTTTCAAGTAAACGAGTTGTAGCTTCAATACATTGATCAAACTGGCGCCGTCGAAACAAACTCATAGCTTGAAATAGAGGATCCATATTTATTAACTGTATTGAACTTAGTTATTTGCATAAAAATAATAGATGTGAGCGATTTCAAAATGACATGAGAACCATGGCTGTGGGATCATTAATTTATTTGTTTAGCTACTACCTCCATCCGTAAAACTGCACAGTAGGACACTATCAACGATCTCTAGCATATTATTTTGATCGATATATTAAAGAAGTGCCTAAAATTTTCATATTCAACTTTTCCTAATGCTTAGCTGTGTTGTATAGTCTTTATAAAGGCTCACACAATGCTTCCATGATTCCGTCGATGTGTAAGTTTCCTTTGATTGGTTAGTTTCACTATGAGCGCTTGGCTGTGACGTACATTTAATTAATAGAAACGGTATTTTCTAAACTCAGTTCGTATTTCAGTATATCCTTTAATTCTCATTGGCCTTAATTCTTCGTGCTACATCTTTTATGTAATGAGAAGGAGAAAAACCAATGCACGTGTTATTATTCTAGCTAATATAGAAAGACATTGAACATAAGCATGATACAGTTGAGTGCTGTACAGTAAAGTTAAGTTTAGTGTTGTCAAATCGAACCCTCTTTCCATGACCTTGGGTCGTCTCCTTCGTGTATTGTTTAACATTGTCAATTTTAGTGAGAAAGAAGAACAAGCGTATTAAGTCTAATCTACTTCTCTTCTTGTTTTCAGGTCGATCATGTATTATTATTCTTACTCGAGCGCAATATCAGCATTGATCGTTCTTCTATCGATAGTCGATCGAATTTTATCAAATGAGCTGACATTTGAATTGCCTGATAATGCAAAAGAATGTTTTCATGAAAAATTAAAAATTGGTTCAAAATTCGTCTTAGAATATCAAGTACAATGAAAAAACAACAAAAAATTTTCTCTTTCGTTCCCCTATCTAAAAAATATGAAAAATTCATTCTTTTTTTAGGTTATCACTGGCGGGAACTACGACGTTGATCTTGTATTACGTTCACCATCAGGAAAAGTGTTGTACCAGGATCAAAAAAAACAATATGATAATGTTGAAAAAACGGCTGAAGAAGATGGTGCATACGAATTTTGTTTCAGTAATGAATTTTCAACATTTACTCATAAAGTTATTTATATTGATTGGAGAGTTGATGGTGATCCAGAACACGAAATAGCGGCAGCAAGTCCACATGTAGCTGAAGGCGCGTTAACAATGGTAAATTTTGAATTTTTCTGTCTAAACTATTATAAAAGATGCTTCTTAAACTTCCATGTCATGTTGCATGTGTTATTTTTTAAATTTTAGATTGAAACAAAAGTTCAAGGTATTCACGAAAGTCTTAAATCTGTCATTGATTATCAGACTCATCATCGATTGAGAGAAGCAACGGGACGAGTACGAGCCGAAGATCTTAAAGAACGTGTACAAATGTGGTCTATGGGCCAATTTATATTGATAGTAATTGTTGGCGTAGGACAAGTTCTTTTATTAAGATCATTTTTTACGGACAGAAGGACATCATCATCGTGGACAACAAATAGATAAACGAAATAAAGAAGGTAATTAGAGTGGGATATTCAATTAGGAAGATTTATTTATCTGCAGGAATTATTTATTTTACTTCATACAAAATGCAATGTATTCTTTTTTATTTCTTATCTCGAATTGCTTTTTAGTAAACAACAGGAGGAGAGGACCGAAGTGGAGCATTTTCTCAAGAAAAGTTTATGTTCGATTTTTTTTCTCCTATTTATTCCAGTAGTATAAAATGGACTAATTGCTCTATAAATTCTCATTTCATTTTGACTCTGTCGTTGTTCATAGCCAGATTGTTTTTGTTCTTCTGTGTTTTGCTTGTTGTTTCAAAAAAAAACAAAGAAAACGAAAGTTTACTAGAAAATCTCTCAAATGCCATATTATCTAAACAACATTCATTCATTGATTCTATTTTCTTCTAATTTTTATTTTCTTTTTATTTCTTACTGTTTAATTGTGGTTTCGTTATTAAAATAAAGTTAATTTTTTTCCATTGATAAACTTTTAATGATGAAAAAAGATCTAGATCACCTTAGACTAGACTGAGAAGGAAGATATTTTGCAGTTAGATGAAATTTTACAAGAATTTCCATTTATTTGCTGACAAAAACTGGGAATTTTTCTACGTATATATGACTTCAAGAACAAGTTCGAATGTAAAAATGCAATGTATACTATTTAATTGTTACCTGTTCTTATAGTTTTGAACTACACGATCACAGTGGACAAATCTATTTTTTTTTCTTTGTTGTCTATGCGTATTCAAAACAATTGGAGACAATCGAAAAAAATGATAAATAATAATAGTTGATATACTTCAGCGAACATATGTGGATATAGTTATCTTGAAGTAACAGATAAAATGTGTGAAAAATATGACATTCTAAGAGTTTAAAGGATAATTGAAATTTTCTAAGACTTTACTTACTCATTCTTTATTTACAGTAGTGCGGAAATAATTAACAAAGATACTGAATACATATATTTTCTATTGCTGAATACACTATTAACTTCCGCTCTATCTAAATAATCAGGAGTTTTATATTTAGTTCTTAAAGATTATTTTTTCTTATGCAATACTAATTATCTATTCAAAAAAAAACAATAACAAAAAATGACAATAAAGAGCCGAGTGGATTTGTGAGATGCATGTTGTTTCCATTAAACATATTCAGAGTATTGAATATCTGATTGAATAAAAACCGACAGACATGGAACATTTTTTTATTTTGTATTATCGACACAAAGCTACTATTATTCACTAATCTCACGAGAATAATTATATTTCAGCAAGTATTGTTATGTAATGTTAATTTAAATTTTCGAAGATATATATCAATCTATGTTCGCTCGATTTAATCGAAATGAACAAAATAATAAAAAAAAAAAAAAATTTTTTTTGTCATTTTATTTTCAAGGTAGGATGAAGGAATACGCGGTATATATTAAAGTATAGCGTTCTCTTTTATCGGAAGCTTCTATTTTTTGTGCCTTGTTCTGTATTTTGAATTTTTTATATTTCTTTTAATCTAAATGTGATATACAGCGGTCTATTATTCTTATTATGTATAAAAATGATTGAAAAAAATCAATGATTATTATTTAGATTACAAAAAAAAAAAAAGAGTTGGTATTGAAAATACACTATTCGTTTAATATTACTATTGCACTCTTGTTTTAGAATATTGAACAGCAAGATATATAAGTTACATATATATGTTTCTTTTAATGGAACAATCAAAATTCTATTATATTGAACAGATCGAATGATTATTCAATATTTATGAATTACAATGGATTATTGGATTGTGTATGTCCAGTTGAACGAAGGTAGTATTACAATTTTATTGTTTTGAATTTCTTCTTCCTCTCTCAATCTAAACTATAAAAATTATTTCTACTATTTTAAAACAAATGGAGAAAATTCAATGTATATGCTTAGATCGATGTTGCTATAGAGTTCAAGTGTTCCACTAATTCTATATCAGCTATAGTATAACTCGCATTTTATCCTTGAATAAAAGAATTCAATAATTAGGAAAATAAAACGGATTTTCACTAGATTTTTTTACGTTGCTTACATGTTTTTTAACATAAACGTTTGTACACTTAGATGTTTAAAGATGATAAACTTGATCCTTTTTAAATAAATTAAATAAATATTGACTAAATCTTTATATATGTACTACATATGTTTTGATGTAATCAAATATGACCAATACAACGGACAGAGTAGATATAACGAACAACCATATATGAATCTATTTTTTGAATTTATAAAGAAAAGAATATAAAAAAAAAACGTTTCGTTTATCAAAATGTTTCAAGAAAATGGCAGGTAAATGGTTGAAATAAATTTAAAAATTAAATTTATTTTTTATATTTTTATGATTATATAAATAACGTGCAAGAGCATATTTTTTTTCACTTGATTTTGATCGGTTTGACTTTAATTATCATGTTTTATTTTTGTTTTTTTTTACTTCAATTCTAGGAAAGAATGTAAATATATATCATTTGTATTCTAAAATCAAGTGTTTTTTTATTTGTTCTGTCTGTTCTTCTACAAGTCAAACAAGCACACTCATTATTATTTAACAAGGTCAAAAATTGTAATAATCAGTTGTGCTCGTTGCCAACATAGTTTGTGCCATATTTGTTATTAGTTGAGAAAGAGAAAAATAAAATTGATGATAATATTGACAGATTTATAATTCATAAATAGTGCTGATGTATCATTTTATATTTTTTAGTACTTTTAAAAACTGTAATGATGTAATACTGGTCTGGTTTCTGTTAAATCAGAAAAAATAGACTATTGTAAATATTTTTTGGAAGAAGTTTCAATATATTAAAATTTTTCTTTTTATTTCAAAACAACAAAAGAGTGGATGCAGTTTACCTTTTTAATTATGTATCGATAATGAGTTCGTTTTAATTGAATGGAAACATGCATATTATATCCAGGGTTGTCGTGACCGGTGAAGGAGAGGAGGCCTCTTGCAGGCGATTCTCATCTAATAATTGAAAATTTTCGTTCTCCCTCTCAATAGTAAAATCTTCTTTTCTGGCGTTCTAGTCCAAATTTTTTTCCTTTCTAGCAACCTCCACCCAAAGTTGAACTTTTCACGACTGCTCTGAGTATATCTTCATCCAGTACGATTTATTATAATAAAACAAATAGATGGGCTTTTATCTGCTTATCCTTCTCTGTGACGTGTTCTTGATTACTTTTTAGTACAATAAGGAATATGATCGAAAATAATGTAGAAAAAATACGAGAAAAAAATAAAATAAATTAAGATTTCTGTTTAAAGTTTTTTTCTTTTTTGTTCTATTATGTATATTTTTCGATGTAATGTAAATTATGTTTGTATATGTAAACTATTAGACCTTTTATTTTAACGTCTATTTTTTTATTTACTGATTAGTTAGAGATTTAATACACTGATGGATGGTTCACTCATCGATTCTCATCATCGTATTTCATTGTCCACACTAACAAATATTTCACCTGATGTTAATAACGATCATGAATCTTGTTTATCGAATACAAATATACGAACGGATAGTGTTAGTACTAATCAAAATGGAGTAAATTATACTGATAACGACAACTATATTACAAGAAATAATAATAGTGAATCGAATAGTGAAATGTCAAAATCCTCTCAATTTTTTACTTGGCGTCGAGGTAAATAATTTAAGTTTTGATCGATAAATAATTAATTTATGAAAAAAATTGTCTATGTACTATTTTAGGACATCGCCGTGAAATGTTATCATATGCTACAATATGTTTTTTTGCCTTCATGACTGGTGTAGAATATGCTGGTAATAAAAATAAACTTAATTATTTCTCTAAGAAAATGATATTTTATGACTCAACGTGTGTCCATTTTCAGTAATACTACCAACAGCGTTTGAATACGTTAAAAAACTAACAAATGGTGATATATATGTAGGCTTGGTGTTATCATCATACAGTATCTCTGGTAGTATTGCCGGTATTATTCTGGGAAAAATATCAGATATTACCAAGAAAGTGAAATTATTAATATTGATAACAAATGTATTTGAAATAGTTGGAAATATTCTATATTTTCTTACAAGTAAAATTTCGATTGTTCTCTTGGGACGATTTATTGCCGGAGTTGGGATGGGAGCTGTTCCTCCAGTGAGTATTTTAATAATCATTGAAAATATATTTTATTTTAATATTATTTTTATTTAGATTCTTGCTGATATTGCTCATAGAACAAAAGAAGTAGATAGAACAAAAGCAATTTCGATTATTCTTGGATGTCGACAATTAGGTAAATATGTTCCTACAACATCTGTATAAAATAAATAGTATGGCTATTTCGTTTTTAGGATTGCTTGTTGGACCGTGTTTTGCATTGATTATTCGATCAATGAGTTTTAATATAGGTATGCTACAGTAGGAGAAAATATATTATTCTAATGTTTTAATTTTTGATTTTTTTGTACTATTTTCTAGGCTCCGTAAATGTAAATCAATATAATGGTCCGGGTTTTTTAATGGCAGTCGTTTGGTTTTTTTTACAAATTATCTGTTGGTTTTGTTTTTATGATCGTCAACCGGAAACTACAAGTGGACCATCGTCTAATGGTCTTAGAAGTAATGATTTACCTAAACACAAATATTATCGTTCTGGTGAAAAAGATCAACAACAAATACAAACGGAAGAACAACAGCATCAATCATTATCATGGAAAGTTTATTATCAACAATATTTTCGTGCCGAAATGTTGGTATTATTTTTAGCCACATTTATTACGTATTTCAATCAAACAGGTAGATATTGAGAAGAATGTTTCAGAGCTGAACGAGTATAAGTACTACATTTTCAAGTATGAGTATATATTTTTTCCAAAAAAACTAATAAATTTGTACACATTATTTATCTTTTCAAAATGCATTTTTCTTTTTTTAATCTATCCTGATTTCAATAAGTTGCCCACATGCCTATCTTTTCAGTACGTGAACTACGACATCTTAGTACAATTCTATTTTTTGTTTTCTTGTTTATTTACTAATTAATTTCTTTTTTCTTACGATGATAACCAAATAATTTTCTTCTTCAATATTTAACAGTATGTGAAACATAATTTAATTTAAAAAAAGTTTTCCCGAGTACATGTATTAGTGACTGAGGACAAAAATTTGAGTATGAGTACGAATATTTTCCCAATTCTGCTATATTTCTCTCGTTTTCATAAAATTAATATTTTAGCACTTGAAACAATTGTCGCAGCATTTACCAAAAAACATTTTCAATGGAACCAAGTTCATATCTCCATATTATTTGCATTAGCTGGTTTAGAAATAATTTGTGTTTATTTATGTCTGGTTAAACTATGTATTAAACGTTTTGAAGATCGTATGTTATTAATATTCGGTTTTATATCATTAACTTGTGCTTGTACATTAGGAGTTTTTTTCACATGGACTATGACAGATAGAGCATCTGCAAACAAAAGTCTATTGCCAATGTTTGTTATCTTTGTGTTTCTCGATTTATTGGGATTACCGTTTATAGCGGCAACAAGTGTATCTTTATTTACAAAATTAACCATTAAAGAGTTACAGGGCTTTTCGCAAGGTGTTCAACGATTAGTAATGGGCATTGGTACAATTGTTGGTCCATTGTTTGCATCAGCGTTGTTAAATCGATTACACATTATGATGACAACAATGTTAAGTATGACATTTTTAACATTAATGCTCATTTTTCTCATCTTACGTCGCTTAATACCGTTGAAAAATAACGATAAAGATCGTGTAACAACAACAAACAATAATTCATTGGAAGAAAATGGTGAGGAAATTGCATTCCCTTTATCAAATAACAATAATCATTGTTATGTACCATTGTGTCGAGATGACGATGGAACTGATGAAGAAAGTTGTCAATTATTGAAAAATAGTTCGCCATCATTATCAAAATATATTTCAGATTCAATTGAAAGAGAAAAAAGATCGAATGAAATTAACGAAGAATGTAGAACTAGGTCACCAACTATTCCTCACAGTAATGGTGGTTCATTAAAATTCGACACTAGCTCTACAAATTACAGTTGTCAATTGTCAGATGAATTTATGAATGATAATGGGGGAGATTCTCTTGGACGGAGTCAGTCACTGAAGGAACCTAAGCCGGCATGATTGTTTTTTATTTATTTGTACATGACATTGTCCTAGTCATAAAGAGTACTAATCAAATTTTAATTGTTTGACTAATTGGACGATATGAAAATTTTTATTCTTAAAGATTTCAACTTTCAGATAAACAGATACTGTTTGAAGAACAGAGTAAAAACCTTCGTCTTTTTACTCCGTTAGATGTATCAAGATTGAAAGCACATTCAAAAGGGCAAGGATTCTTATCTATTACATTTCGATAAAATACATGTTCCATTTTCATAGTTCTAGTTTGTTTTGTGAAAAGTTTCGGGGCTTTCCTTTGTCAAAAGAAAAAACAAAGTTTTAAATTTAAAGTGATTTTTCGGATAAAATGACTGTTTTTGTACTTTCTGTCTCCCTCCCGCTTACGGTTGGACGAATAGGTTACAAACGGCGTAGTGCCTGTTATGCGTATATCCAAGAAAAAAGTTTTCACATTTTGCCCCTTAGGGCAACGCTGATAAACTTTTTTTTCGTTGTATCCTCGTTTTCTTATTTTTTTTTCTCATCTTAAATCTCTTTCATCTAGTCATATGTATTTTTTTAAATGCAAATCGAGTACAGTTTTGTTTATCTTATTTTTTTTTGGTTTTCATCTTCGCTCAGCGTCAACATATAAAAAAAAAATTTTATGTTTTTTTTCTCGTTATTTATCAACAAGATCTGTAATAACTGATGTTCCTATCTGAAATTTTTTTAATTTAAAATGGTATTGCGTAGAATTAATTAAATAATATTACATGTTGTTTTTCTGCCAGTTAGACAGTTTTTATTTTTTTTGTACAACTTTCCCTTCCTATTTGTACTTACTAAGAGCGAGAGAAACAAGGTTATTTTAAATTTTTTCTTTCTGGACAAAGAATAATGTAGAGTAGCTTCAAATGTTCTCATCTTTTCTTTGAAACCGAAGAAAATCATTATTTTCTTTTAGAAAGAAAATGATATTTTTTCTGAAGAAATTACTTTACTATTAATCTGTGATTTGTGCTCTCTTATCTTATTTTGAAACCTCAGTTGCGTCGTGATTGTTTTTTTGTGTTTTTTATACACACTTTACACTTTCTTTCGCCTATCGCTATCTTAAACAACGATATGTGTGTTTAAATGCTATCGAATAAAATAAAACATAGATATTTTATGAATAAAGTATACAATTGACGAAAGGGTTTAGTTTCGATTCGTCCCTAATTACTTACTCTCACTTTTGATGTAATATTTACTGTTCTCTAATCTTACAATACCAATTGTACACTTACAGCCGACTATACGTTTTTCTAGAGAATGTATAGATTTACTGGAGAATATATACAATCGTTAATAAACTTAGAAGATGAAACGACCTTTAAGCTTTAGTCTAAAAGATAAATCTCGGTAAAAAACCAATAGTTGAATATAACTTTTTACTAAATGATGTCATGTGATCAATTTTTTAACATAAGTGTCTTTTTCTCTCATATTAAAATAAGCCTATTTCTACAACAGCATCCACGTCCAATTGTAGATTCCTGCAACATTCGGATGACGAAATAAAACACGGTATTAGAAACTTAAAAAACTGGTTGTACATCACACGTTGCATAGAGATTCAAGTTCATTTTGTAGTTTCTCTTACGAGGGAACCTCTCGAGGTGATTAAAAGCTTTTCGACTCAGACTATTTTCATCATGTAGGGAATAGTCAGCAATGAAAAACCCCAAGTTGGTTTGGGTCCATGCGCCTTTTTGACGGAGATATGAGTTAATTAATGAAAATGCCATTAATAATAATTAATTAATAGCTCACGACCATGATCAGCTAGGAGTCGGAAATTTTCACCACAGTTGAAGATAGATGTTGTCTACTCACTGCGAAACTTTTAGGCGTATAAACCAAAGCTTTTGCAAGATATGAATTTTTTATGATTTAGACAGCTTTTAGTGAAAATTCACCATTGAAAACCTAAAAACTTGTTATCACCTTTTAAGTACCTCTGTTCACGCTGCAGAAGCTCAGCGGCTCTTAGGGACCTATATCTAAATGAAATAAGTCTTTACTGAGTCGATAGAGGTATCTAAAAGGTGATAACAAGTTTTTAGGTTTTCAATGGTGAATTTTCACTAAAAGCTGTCTAAATCATAAAAAATTCATACCTTGCAAAAGCTTTGGTTTATAAGCCGTCGTAAGTGGTCGTGAGCTATTAATTAATTATTGTCAATGGCATTTTCATTAATTAACTCATATCTCCGTCAAAAAGGCGCATGGGCCCAAACCAACTTGGGGTTTTTCACTGCTGACTATTTCCTACATGATGAAAATAGTCTGAGTCGAAAAGCTTTTAATCACCTCGAGAGGTTCCCTCGTAAGAGTACACCTATCGAATTTTAGTTCTGCCGTACTTATCCAAAGCACATTGCACCTGATGGAGGTTCATTATTTTAGTGAGAGGTTAAATTGTTTTAATAGTACTGCTAAAGAGCGTCAAGTAAGTTATCACAAAAAGCTGTCGAAAACGTCTAGAAAGTGCCTGCAAAATATAGCACATGATGTATTGAGAACAACTTTACAGAATTAAGTTTGCACTATTTAGTTTTTCAGTAGTTACTCCGCTTTATAGAATAAGTGATTATTTTTTTTTATAATGAAATGAATATTGTTAGAAAAACAAGCATAAAAAAAGCAAACCAAGGCAAATCTGTACAAAATACTAGGGAAAAACATGCGAAACCATTAGAACGATCAGGAAGGTAACAATGAATGATAAGGGTACAGCCTACTTAACATATTGCAATACATACACATTGCACCGTTACAAAGGAGTCAACACATTCATTAAAAGAAAAGCTAGAGAAGAAAATTGAACTGAAAAATGCTTTTTATAATGGAGAAACACTGAAAATCTCTTATTTTTAAGGAAACATGTTTTTAAACGAGGGAAAAACAAAAGTACTAGCAAAAAGATGTAGTAGGATATATTAAAACACGTCGCTTATTACAATTAAAGAAAAATAAAAATATTGCAACAAAAGACATAGCAATCTATCATTCTCTCCGTACGGAAAGGGTAAAAACGGCAAAGAGAGCTAGAGTAAACGAACCGGAAAAAGAATAAACAACAGAAAGAAAGACTAGTAGGTGTGTTATAGAAAACATGTATTTTTTTCTGCCGACTAGTTTCTTTTTCAACACAAATAGTTGCAATAAGAGCCGAAATTTCAAAAGTTAGGTAACTAGTAGTCTATAACATAATACAACCACCTCTTCGTTTCTTCTTTCGTGCTAATGCCGCACGCGAGGCAGTTTCGAAGACTTCACGAACACCTGAAGTAAATAAATAACATATGAGTAAAATAAATTATTTTTTAAATTCAAAAACTATACCTTCTTTTGTTTTAGCTGAACATTCCATATAATTAACAGCACTGATTTTATCTGCCATTGCTCGTCCTTCTTCACTACGTACAGGTTCTTGTTTCATTTTCATCAATTCTCTTTTTGTTGATTCATCATTTCTTAAATCTCTCTTGTTACCTAAATTAAAGATGAAATATCAAAAATGTTCTATTGCAATTGATTTCTTAATTAAACACATGCCAACGAGAAGTATAGGAACATTTGGACAAAAATGTTTAACTTCTGGAGTCCATTTTTCCGGAATATTTTCCAAACTATCTGGACTATCGATAGCAAAACACATTAAAATAACATCCGTATCTGGATAAGATAACGGACGCAAACGATCGTAACTAAAATATTCAAAAATCACATGTACTGTTGAAGAACCAATTAAAGCGAGAAAAAAGAACGTACTCTTCTTGACCTGCCGTATCCCATAATGCTAATTCAACCTTGAATAAAAAACAAAAAGATCATGTTCACACATTTGTACAAAACATCTTTAGAAATAGCACGCGAGAAGTTATGAGTATAATAGAATACATAAAAGACAATTGGTAGAAATAAAAAATTTATTACAAGGGCACTACGTTAAAACATTTTGTCATGGCATTAAACACGACAATAGTCGTTTAAAAGAAGTAAACTAACGTGAAAGAAATGAAGAATGTTTATTGTCCAATCGAGTGCGAATTACACAATTGATCCAACAAAGAGAGAAGATTCTGAAATTTATCAGGTTGCTTTTGTTTTTAAAAAAGAGTATCTCAAGGAATGACCATGGTTTCGAACTATCACGCAATGACTATATCGTACATTTGCTAAACAAAGCTAGAAGAGACTAAGAAATTTGAACACAGAGCGACAGAATGAAAATTTTTTTATAAAAAATGAACATCTTTTTCTAATTCGACATTATCGAAAACAACAAAAGAGTTCAGAAAACTACAATAAAGAAATTTTTCGTTTGAAATATATAAAATATGACTTTTATGCAAAGAATTTCGTAAAGAGAAAGGAAACGTTAAAGTCAAGCTCGCTAATCGACGTCACATATATTTAAAACCAAATGTTTAAGTCCAATGTTTTAACCATTATTAATTGAACTTGAGGATTCAAAAACACTCGAAATAAACGAGTTATATAGTATAAACTTTTGCAAGATAGTATCAAAATGCTAACAAGAGAAAAATAACAATAATTTTCTATCAAAGAAAAAACGTTACTAAAGTCTTAAAAAGTCCAACCAGAAATCTAGAAATAGTTTTTAAGGAAAACACCACTTCGAAAGAGTCAATTTGACGTTTAGTAAACAAAAAACAACAGAGATAAGATGAACAAAAGAAGGAAAGAAAATCTATCTTGTCTTTTGGTCTATATACATAGATGCGACTATTATTTATAACAATTGACATTTTCGAGGGAATCCTCGGGAACGTTTTTTTCTGTGTAAAGCCGTTTTTGTTGCCATCTCAAACACTTCACGGATATTTTCTTTTGTTCGTGCTGAACATTCTAAATAATGTGCTTCTATTTTATCAGCAACCGCTTTGCCATGTTCATAACGAATTGGTTCTTTTTTTTGTTTCGCTAATTCTGTTCGAATATATGGATCGTTACGTAAATCTTTTTTATTACCAACTAATAAACATGGTATCTTTGGACAAAAATGTTTTACTTCAGGTTGCCATTTTTCCACAATATTTTCTAAACTATCTGGATTATCTATGGCAAAACACATTAGGATAACGTCAGTATCAGGATAAGATAATGGACGTAGTCGATCGTAATCTTCTTGGCCAGCTGTATCCCATAGTGCTAGTTCAACCTATAGCAATAGGGAAAAAAACGACTAGAACAGCCAGTGGCACAGGAAAAAACAGTATAAGAAAGCGATAAATTGTTTTTCATCCCAGAAGCTAAGAACTAAAAGCAAAAATGATGGTAGAGCCGAACGCCAATACTCTGTTAAAAAACAACAACTGATAAAGCTTAGTATATGATGGCCTATAGGTAGAGGATCTTTATTTTTATTTTTAATATTCTTCTCATTGCTCACACTAAACAAAGTTTGGCGTTATATATTCTTCTAATCTATCTATTTCAAAATTTAACTTCGAAAAGAAAAGCAGATTTCATATGGTGCATTTTTAAAGAATGATAAGGATAATTAAATATTATACACAAAGGAAAGCAAAACACAAACATTTTGAGCATAACTAAAGCTTTTTCTAATTCAAATTCTCACCTTCAATTTGATTGGAATTAAAGTTGAATTAAATTAATTTCATATAACATCATGTATAATCAATCAATGATTAATGATTCGATTTCCCTTTTTTTTTAGCACACACGCATATTTAACGAAAATGAACATTGCAACACATTGTAATTAATATAAAACGTTTGCAAACGTGGAAGCAACACACAAAACAACAACAACAGTAAAAAAAGAAGCAAACATCGTGTATGTGTGATAGATGTAGAAATAACACTCATTGTATGAGCTACAAATATTAGAGTTTTTCTTCCTGATGAGCAATAGCAATAACAACAAGGAAATAGTTCGTGTGAGATGCCTTTACAAACCTGTTTTCCATCAACTTCAATATCAGCAACGTAGTTTTCAAATACGGTTGGAACATAAACTTCTGGAAATTGATCTTTGCTGAACACAATTAATAAACACGTTTTACCTAGAATAAAGAAAAAATGAATTATCTTTAAAACATGCCATAAGGGGTTTTTTTAAACAAAAACTCACCACAAGCACCATCACCGACTATTACCAACTTTTTCCGAATAGCAGCCATGATTTTAATGATTATCTAGAGAATAGAGAGAACGTCACATGTAAAATAAACATTTAGCTCAGATGAAATGAAAAGGTAAAGATACATGGATCAACAGTCAGCGATCGTTTCGTCAAGTTCACTAATTTAAGAAAAGACTAAAGTCAACATACAGTATTTGGTGTTTTTTCAGTGACATAAGGAACCTGTGTCCTCGACTTTAATAAACACTTAATTGAAGTCAGAGATCTGAATTAAGTCCATATTTAAGAACTTCGATGAAACGACTGCTTGGTATTCATTATAGGCGATCAAGGAAAATTGTTTACACTTTCTACCACTAAGACTTTGTATATAATAAGCGTCATAATCTGAACAATCCAAGGTAAGAAACATTTGACAAAGCTCGCTAGAGTTTAACAGTTGGACAACAGAAATAATCTGTTCTAAACTGTAAAGCATAAGAAAATCGATCCCGAAGTGTATGTGACTGATTGAATTGTATATAGAGTTCTTTTTGCTTAACATCAATTTCAAGCTTAAAATCTCAAGCTTAATATTCCCTGTTACAAGGGATCTGCAGACTGTACTAGACGGACAATCTCATAGACGTCCGTAGGCAGTTCTTCGCTTTCGTAAAAAGAAAGGTGTCCATGTAGGTTTCGACTTCTTAATTTTTTATTTTTTATTTAACTTAAGCATATCTAAAGCAAATGCGATTGATCTCGCCGAGCTACTGTTAGAACGTAATTCAATTACTAATTAATTATTTATTTATCTAGTTATATAACACAAAACGCAGCCATTATAAACTCTCGACACTACAAAGTCAAGTGGTTAGTTAGTCATATGATTTGTTTACTTTTACAGATTAAGACAAAATGACGATGTTTACTAAGTCGAAGTAGATTTTTTGTTCTATTTGCTTTGAAACTAAAGTTAAATTGCATAAAACGGAGTCTATTATAACTATCGTATGTTGAAACATTTAGACATTCAATGCTTACGTCCTATTGGCGGCATCTACTCGCATAGAGACTGTATGTGAGAATTGACATGGTACGTGATCAGATACATTAACATAAAATGTGCTCATTTTCTTCACTTTTTCGTTTTATAGCAACGCACATTCATTGAATGGAAGTTCAGAATTTATACAGGAACAAAATTTTATTTTCTTGCGGGCAGGCTAGATTAATCAGATATTCACTGTTTCGCTCTGTCACGGACGTGGACATTGTAAATGCTTACCATATGACCTACCTTTTGGATCAGCGTACTTTAGAAAAAATTTTCGGCATCGTTTTGCCTTCAGTCCCATACACTAACTTTCTGATAAATTTCGGAGCAAGACCATTAGACAATATTTTCTAAGGCACTCCATTCGAAAAGCTATCGCGTATCAAATAATCGACTATGTAGAAGACGAATCTGCAATCGGTTGGCCACTGATCTCCTATGTAGTATAGAAATTCTGCAAAATTGAGATTCGCGATTGGGAGAAATTGTTGGCTTTTCGCGGACTAATGGACTGACATGGGAGATACTTATGAATGGTCATTTCTTACAGTTGTTATTTATAGTTATTATTCGAAAACGACATATGAAATTCAACTTAGCGCACTTCAGCTGTCAGCGGATTACACATTTTTACCTTCAAATGCGCGACTGCTGAAACGAGATTTTTCGTGCTCATCGAAAAGAGTGAGAAATTTTCTGATAAGATTCTATAATCAAACCAAAGTTTTGATATTTTTACTTGACTTAAGCGATTTTCTTCTTACATTTATCCCTTGCTTATCCAAATGGAAAAACCAAGAATTTCGAATATCTATTCGGCGACCAAATTCAGATATATGTCATAATGCGTGTGATTTCGGTTTTTGCTTCAAAAAATTGATTTGTAATTTTCAGAATCTCTCCTTTATGTTCAATTAAGCGGAATCAAATCAAGACCATCCAGAATAATCGAAATTTTATTATATAATTTAAAAAATAAACAATTTAGAATTTATAACATACATAGCATAGTATGAAAACTTGAGTTAAGTTGTGATATAATTTCACTGATACTATGCGATACGAAACAACGGTAGAGAAACGAAAATAAAAACATACGTATTTAAATAGCACCGGTTTGAAAATACTAAATGAAAATACTAAACTAATGAGATAAGGGTGAATAGAAAGTCGTATATCTTATAAAAAATTTCCTAGACGAGAAGCTAATTCGTTCCTCGAAACAAATTGAAACTAATGCACAAATATAACCTCCTTCTGAAGGAAGAAATTTTTAGAAGGAGATCACATTAGTTCTAGAGTATGACATTATACGAGACGTGTTCATTTTATCATGAAATAATTTTGCTCTTAATCCAATGTAATTCCAAATCGTTTCAAAACAATATGCATATCTTCATTCACTAGAAAAAAGAAAATGAAATATTAAAATTTGATACTAACATATTCATTCATAAACTTACTATTAATGTAAAATACTTGTGTTTGTCCTCCAGCAGTATTGTAACTTTCTTCATTTGATACGTTGTTACTAACACCAATATTTGCTGAACTAAAATCACTTCCACTATTTACACCATAATTATTTGTATTGAACGCGGTAGCTGGTGTTGATTCGAGTCCCAGATCGCTTCCCGTATTAAATTCTGTACCAAAACTTGCGGATGCGAAACCACTTGTTGATGATGTGGCACCAGCACTACCAATCAAACTATCAATATTTGTTGAATTTCCAGTAAACGGAGAAAAATCTGTTGATAAACTGTTGGCATTATTATCTGATAAATAGGCGGCTGTGCCACTGTTACTATAATCTGTTGATGCTACACCACCAAATCCTAAATTTCCTAATTGTTCACTGTTGAAATTTGTGGCATCAAATGAACTTGAGCTATAATTAGTTGATAATGTTTGGCCATCAGGAGGAGACTAATAAACACGAAGAAATTGCAATTTATCTATTGTCCATGTAAATAATATGGACTCGTTTACTCTTTCAATAATTTTCACTAGAGTATAGACTGAGACAAATTTTTATCACATAATGCCGTTCAGAGTGTGAAAAACACTTTGTAGCTTCAAAGTTTTGGAAAAACCAGAAGTTTTGGTTGGAACTTATCAAGCTTTCAGTTTTATTAACATGTAAAGTAATTGAAATTTCTCATTCTGAAAGCTTTTAGTCTTTTGCTTCGATTTTGATTTAGTTATAAATTGTTTAATTTGAGCTCTAAACTGTTAAAATGAATCGTTTTATGTATGCGTTTTAAATTTTTTTTCTGACATTAAACATTGTCGCAGGACTTAGTGCTCATACAAAATCCGACAACACACTTCAACGACCATTGATGAAGTGATCGGATGCATTCTGTTTTGTAGCTAGTCTATCCATTCCTGTGAAAAAATGTTTACATTTAAAGTTTAAAAAATCTAGAAATTCTGTCTGAAAAGAAGATTTCTAAACTCAATGTTTAGTGAAAGGATACTTTATAGCCTTAGCTATCGAATGGCAAACTGCATCTCTCAATCTATACTCTGCCATACGTTATTAAAAACATGACCGAGTCCGTTTTTTATCAACTAGTAATAGCATTCATATATGTACCCTGTACTTACAATGTCTTCGATGAATCCTGCTTGACGTGCGTGTACTAGCAATTGTTGGGCGTCAAGTAAATTAGTACCATAGCGTCGGACGTAACTTTGTGGATTTTCTTGTTGAACACCCAACTTCTGAAATTGTCGTACTACGTTTGCTTTTATATTTTCATAGGTTACTATGGTATTCCTTGGTTTTTCATAGGCCTTGGCTGCGGTGGCCCGCTGTAGAATCACTTTACGCTTTTGTTGTGCACCATAAGGTACCCACCTTTCAATGATTATATCTCTGGGTTTTGGTGGTTGAGCGGGAAATCTTTCAATGATGACGGAGCGAGGTGGTACAGGTATAGCTGAGAGGTTACGAATAATTGTTTTGGCTGCAAGAGGTTGAGGCGCTTGTGGAGGTTTTTCTCGCAAAATGAGAGGTGGTGGTGTTGGTACAGCTGCAGGCTTTTTGCGGATAACAAGGGGAGGAGGAGCTGGAGGCTGGGGTGGACGAACTTCTTTGATTATTAATGGACCAGGTGGAGGAAGCGGTGGAGGTTGAAGAAATCTTACTGATACGTTTTGTTGATAAATGACTCCACCTTTAGCAGGTTGTCGGATAATATAAGGATGTCGATCTTGAAATATTTTTGATGCAGTATCAGTATTCGCACTTGAAAATTGGGTTGAGTCGAATCCGGTTGACACCGATGATCTCTCAGTCGAATATTGTTGGATTAAATTGTTAACGTCGAATTCTGAAGGAGATATATTTGTTGTATCATAGTCTGAAGCTACAGATTGTGCTCCACCGAAATCGGATTGATATAAACTTGCTCCTTGTAATAATCCCGTAGAATCAATACTGCTAGTTGCATTTTCATTATATGGACTATTACCACGAAAAGAGCCTTGTAATAGTGGTGCATTTTCACCACTAACGGAGTTAGATCCGACAAATGCTGATGACGAGTCAAAGGCTTGTCCGAATGACGATGAAGCAAATGAATTGTCACCAGCTATTATACTGGCAGTTCTATCATTTCCAATAATTGAGAGTATTGCTCCTGAGTATCGTTGACCGGTAAGACGATCTGCTACCTGAATAATTTGTGCAATAGTTGGATCTTGTAACAATGGGTGATGTGACATGTTTAATACAAACTCTCTGCGGTGGGTATATGTACGTATTAAATCTCGAAAAAACGTTTAGCCACCGAATAATTAGAACTAGGACAACAGAGTTATATAAATGAAATTAAGAGGCAATCAAGCGTTGAATTATGGTGGATCAAAGAGAAAAAACCTCAAATAGATAATCAATTTATTTATAATAAGAATAAAGAAGAACAAAAGCCACTATTATTAATATTTTTAACTGCATTAAACTTTTTTTATGTGGTTATGTTTTTTCGACATACTTGTATATTTGATTGTAACGAATCCGATAGTTACACGCATCATCCAATTAATTGAGTAGGTCACGAATACAATAATTATGTTTACTTAATCCGTTAAAAAAGGTTATCTTGAATAAGGGCAGAAGGCAGAGAGACGTAAGATAATCCTTAAAACATTTTGTCTATAGACCTTGAAAATAGTTAACTGCTCAGGTGAAAGACATGAAGGTAAATACACTGAAAGAAATATATGCCTCACCGTCTAATAACTGACAGATAGCCTTTAGTTCGATAGTTCAAGTATATGAATGGGGGTTCATCAGACAGAAAATCTGTGTATTGTAAAGTGAACAAAACGGTGTCAAGATTCACTAATGACAAGCAAATACTTAAATGACAAGTAAAGACTATGAAGTTGATATAAGGTTAAGCTGCTGAAATTCAATGAAAAGTGAAGAAAACTAACTCTGTTATGTTATGAAACTCAACTCTTCTTCTTAAATTGTTTTATGATTGATTTTTACATCTATTTTAGCGTTGTCTTGCATACCTGTTCATAATGTTTAAAGTAGATGAAAAATCAGCATTTTTCTTATGAAATAAACATAAATTACCAATACTATTAAAAGCATAACTGGATATTAGCTAAGCACCTTCCAGTTTCTACAGACATAGGAGTACCAAAAATTTCAAAACTCTTTTCGTATAGGACATAGAAAATACATAGAAGCCCCCAGTTTCCCGTGTAAAAGTCATATTCTACAAGTTTTGATCTCCCTTCACAGTGGGCATTTTTTTAATAGCAGAAGGACATTAACATTTTCGCTCTTAATTATTTTTTCACGAATTTTTCATTGTCTTAGTCATCTCAGATCCTTTTCAATAGAAAATAAATGTTCTCAGACCAAATCACTTTTTGTGAAAAATCGACCTTGCAGATTTATAGGAAAAATTTTCAATAGATAATTATTCGATTCAAAACGTATTGTGTTATTCATGATTCAAGCAACTCGACACACTGATTTCAAATATGACCTTAGTTTTCAATAAAAACGTTCCAAGACTGAAGAAAATAGATTTTATCTGAAAACTCACGTTATTTTGGAAAAGCTACTGTATGTTCCAGAAACGTGTATGCTATTTGATGCTATCCGTATAGATGTTGCAGAAGTAGAAGAAGCTTGGCAAACTTCGAACTATTTGAAGGCTGGTGGAACCTGGCGTACTCCTTATATTGATGACACCGCTACGAAAACTTAGTCAGCTTAGAAAATAATTTTATTTATTCGACACTTTAAGTCTAAATCGTCAAACTTCTTTGCTGGTCTGTAGCAGAGAAAGTCTGTATTTGTATTTTATATTATTTTCGTATCCAAATCTGAAAGCTCCAATAAAAAGCTAAGGCTCCTAGGTTGTCACACTAATCTTTGGCGGTAAGTAGTGACTGATCTAGAAAATTTTTCCGACGGCTGCGGAGCACTGAAAACACAATCAAAAAAACATTTCTTTTTACTAATGAAAAGTCAAAATTTTTTGTTTCCACCAGCATCCACCGCAAATATGCCACTGACATTAGGACTTTTCCCATGACCCGAAACTGGTGGAATAAAAATTCTTACGGCAATACATCGCCTGTATATCCACTTATATTTATACTTCCTAAAAAGTCAAAAAAAAAAACTCACGTTCGATTTCTGGCCAGATGTCCGTCTGGATGCTTACTGTGCCCCTCTTATACAACAACTTTTCTCTCGTATTTCTTGTTTTGTGAATAATTTTTAATAGGAATAAGACAGAGATTTGGGAGTGTCCCCTATCGATCTGTCTTAGGTCGATCTCTCTAGTTTTCATGGTTCCCAGATGACAGGCATTTTGTTAGAATTTCCTAATCTCAACCGTATCTTAATTATCTGATTCGTTACAATCAAATATACAAGAATGTCGAAAAAACATAACCAAATAATAAAAGATTTTCAAGTTCAACTTTGTACGAATAGAGATTCGAATATATGAACTTAGCGTTGCAGTAAACTACAAAACTATATCCAAAGGTAAAGGTCAACACTTGTGTCGGCATATCACTTTAACTTTTATAAAATTAATAAAATAGAACAAGTTCATTATTGAAGTATATTTACGTAAATCAGTTTTGCGAATTGTGATGCTCCTTGTTATTTGATCAAGGGTTTGATGCTCAAAAGATATTGTGCAAGAGAGAAGTTGCTCCTGGCTATGGTGCAGCATGTCGAAAATATGATCTATATTATTATGAGTGACGTAAATGTCTTTTGCGAATTTACTTCCAAAATATATTCACCTATGAGTTTCTCAACAGAGACTAGAAAAAAAACTGATTTATGAAAGCGGTCGAATTTTCTCGAATAGCTAGAACCAGTTTTCACGCTTATTTTTGTGTTAAATGGACTATTTCACAAATGACCTTGAAATTCTCATCACAATTGTCTCCGTGATTATCTTGCTATATTATCTAAAACGTATTCTATAAAATATTGATATGTTCATCTCATTATTAGGTATGCATCGGTATCGGTATTCATACCGAAATACCGATACCGAAAATACCGAACTTCGGTATATACCGATACCGAAAATACCGATAATGAAAATACCGACTTTTTTCACTTGGAATTTTTGGAATTTTTTCAAATACACAGCTGAGTGTTGTTTATACGTTCTGCTTGTTCAGGATGCTAAAATACCTCATTTCAAATGAAAAAATCCCAAAAATTCCAAGTAAAAAAAAGTCGGTATTTTCGGTATTCGGTATACCGATACCGATGCATACCTACTCATTATCGCAAGCAAAATTGATTTGCATCCGATAACAAATAACTATTGACAACATCACCGGGAAACAAATATCGTGGTCGTAAATGAATACATCGAAAATCACCTTTTTTCGAAAGTTTTTAGACTTATTCACAGTGCGCTAAAAATAAACTTTAAAGATATTTTTCAAGCAAAGTTCAGCAGCTACGAGTCCAAGCTATTATAGTTAGATGCTTCTGTACAGACCCGACTCAAACTCAACAAAATCGAACTATCCGCATCGTATGATACTACCAAACATATGAAACCCTCACTTGCTGCATATAAAAGTCATGTGAAGCATGGCCGTCCCTTTGATGATGGATTATAATGTTTTGAGAAGTGTCAGTGATGAATTCCGATCTTACTTGGAACTTCGAAATGTTGGCATACTGCTAGCAAAGATGTCCATACAAAATTGTATATTTTCATTCAAAGCTTAGATTTTCTTCTTTGATGTTGCGAAAGATTTCTGAATCAGAAGCCGCACCTATTTAGAAAAACATTGCTCATTTTATTAAGTGTATAATTAATTCAAACCCTAATAAAATATAACTTTCAAATGGTTTTTGCAGTATTACTATCCAAAATATTTCAAAATAGAATGGTCACGAATGGTCACGAATGTTTTTCTAATAAATTTTGAACGGAAAAAGCTAGAGACATATGGTTTTCAGCATTCGAGAGAGGACGGATTAGAACGTTTACTTATGAAAAAATCTGAATTTTTTGCTCTGTCGTGGTGTACCCAACCACGCAAAATTTAGAAACTTTCCCGTTTCATGGAAAAAGATGACTTTTTGATTCCGAGATGTTAGTTCGAACCGTCAGACTGCACTAAATTATCCGAGGACCAGTTAAACTTTAGGCTTAGGAAAGTCAAAAATACATGTAACATAGGTTATTGACCACGCTGAATCTCGTGGCAACGTTTTTCTCTCGATAAGTTTCAGAAAACCAAGTGAAAACCTCTATTAGATGAAATAATTCATTTTGGCCTATTTTCACGTAAACTTTAGAACTCAAAATTTAGAACTCAAAATCGATTCAGTTAGAACGTCAAGATGTACTCTGTTTTATATACGCTACATCATAGAGCCCAATAAAACTTTTAAAAACAAACAGAAAATACTTTGGTTTTTGAAAAAGTCTTCTAGAAATCTTTCGAAGGAAAACAACATTTTTTACTGGTCTTAAGTAGAAAAGTATATTGAGTGTACATCAAACAGACACATTTTGACGTTCTGACTGAATCGATTTTGAGTTCTAAATTTTCTAAGTTTACGTGAAAATAGGCCAATTAATATACAATTTTGAATCTAATCTTTGAATGAAAATATACAATTTTGTATGGACATCTTTGCTAGCAGTATAGGAACATTCCAATATTCTACCCATATCTGTTTTTCATACAGTAACTAGATTTAGTTTTGAATAGGACCTTTTGCATAGGTATAGTTTTTACTCAATGAAACAATAATTATTATTATTAATTATTATCTTTTTAATAGGCCATCGAAGATTAGTATATGTAACCAATTGTGCTATTGTCAGGTAGACATAATTATTGTGCTTTCGTATAAGTAACGATATCATACTGATAAGATGAACATATCAAAATATAAATCGTAATTTTTGTGACGGGCACGTCTTATTTGTGAACCAAATACGTTTGATGTGGTGACCTTGGATGACAACGAAATATTTTGGACTGATTTTTGTTCGTGTCAAACCATCTCACTAATTGAACTGATTGTGTGTACACTTGTCGTCAAAATGAAAGTAAAACACCGAGAGTGAGCCGTGTGACTAAATAATATGTACAGACAGAGTGAAACCGTACCAATACAGGATTAATTATAATTTTGTAGTATTTTAACTATAACTATTGTGTAAATCATTATTTGCACATAATAGTAATAAATATTTCTAATTGTATACAAGAGAAGGAAAACAATACCGCGAATCAATTAATTTCAAAGTTATATTGCTTTGTAGATATGTCAAAACTTATTATGAAAATATAAACTTTTTTGACTTGGAGAACACAACTTGATTTTTGTAACGTGATGATATATGATGGTATGTGTTACACAGGTATATTATCGATAAAATTAACAAAATATTAGAGAATGGACCTTCAGTGTTACGAGCTTCGAAAATTTTTCGATGTTTTTTTCTCGGCAAAACTTTGTGCAAATCTTCATCTGTTCATACTATTTACGGCCTTAGTGCAAAAATACGCAAATGCTTTTTGATTTTCGGAGGTTTTTTGTATGTAAAATCCATTTTTCTTCTGACTAAAACTGTTTTTAATTAAAACCAGTAACATATCCTGAATCAGCTTTGTCAAACCGTTCCGAATCATATGTAAAACAATAAATTTTGAATGAAAAATATCAACATCAAAAAATTTTTCACTCTAGCTATATATGGCGATTTTTGAAAACGTTTACTTTTCGTCTGTAAAGATTATGAGACGGGTGAAGAATGATGATGACTCATAAAAACAGGTTTATTCACAAAAACATTTTGATATCTGCATCACAAACCCAAAATTGTCCACTGTGGCAATGATAAATGACAAACTGGAATGTTAATTATTCCTCTACTACTGTTAATGGAACCGGAGATTGATCAATATATATAGGTTTATTCTACTCAGTTGATAAAACACAAAATACATGATGATAACAACAAACTTTTTAAACATTAACAGTACTAAAATACATTAGAATCTTTGTTTGCATTATATACTTCATTACGGGCTCAAATAGGTATGCACCAGTTTCGGTTTTCAAATCGAAAAACCAACCCGAAAAAACCGAACATTGTCGCATTCAAAAAATTTTCATAGATAGTAGTATTTGGCTTTGAAGATGGTTGCAAGAGAAAGTTAATAGCATTCATTTTATTTTGCCTATAAGCCGTTGAACAAATATTTTGTTCAGTGTGATGGAAGGCTGGAATTTTCTGTGATTATAATAGACATATAGCAGTACTACAGAAAAAATTCTTAACCTTTCATACCGTGTTTTGACTGAGTTATAGAATTTTTAATAATTTATGTTATGCACTGTAGGGGCAAAATAAAAAAGTTCATAATTTTTGAAAGAAGCAATAAAAACCTAAATTCTTTTAGGATTTTTACTAGGGCACTATATATAGTATTTATAGGTGTTAGACATCGGGGAGGTTCCCTCGTCAGTATTATTGTGAAATTTTGTGTTTGGATAGCTGTTTTTTATCTTTTGAAGAAAGAGCATTTATTAGATGAATGATAATTTCTGAACCTTTTTGATCGACAAATAGCCTAATAAGAAAAGATTAGAAACCATGAGATAAAATCAAAACATAACAATAGTGACTAAGTCTAGCAATTTATTCGTCTTTTGTTTCTACACCACTACAGGAACTGAAATAACCAATCGGTTAACCATCGATTGTTTGTAACCGATCCATTCCTATACGTGCTCGAGAAACCGGTACAGATAAAATCAGATGTTTTTTTGACAATAGTAAATAGATGTTATATGCTAACTCTTTCTATCATTTTAGAACCTTAAACAAAAATGTTTGAGAGTTTTTCGGTGTCGATTTAAACCGAACATCAGTTAAGCGACACCGGTGCATACCTATGATCAAAACTGCGTACACAGATTGATCGTTAATGGAACTTTCCTCTTTCTACAAAATAATCAACTTTTGAGTTAAACATGCTGTGTAATAGAGTCAAGTGTCCTCTACAATTTGAGATCAATTCCAGCTCTCCGATACCTTTTCTTGATGAGATATGAATTTCTGGAAGTCTATCGCTCTATAACTGGAAAACTCTATTTTAAAGTTTCGAAATTTTTTTATCTGTCATACAGTACTTGTGAAGTTTTCAAACAGCCCATGTGTTTTTCGATTTAGTTTTTCAGCACCTTTTCTTCATAGGGTGGTAAGGGTGATTTTTGGAAGCCTCGAAATTGACATCCGATTTTCCACAAAATTTTCTTATAAGTCATCAACGGTACAACGTGGAGACTTAAATTGAACAATATCAGGGTGTATTGGAGCCTAGTACCTGTGGTAGAATTTTGAGCGCGAACGGACAAAGTTTTGATGGGAACGGTATGGTATGCAATGAAAAACCTAGTTTTCCAGGAAACCATATCTAAATACGAATTCTAAGGTTTGCATTTCATGAATTTTAAAATATACCTATTTTATTTTTTGCGAAGATACTCTAGTAGAAATTTCTACTCTTCCTGCTCAGTCGTTACGATTCTGTAATAAGACAACAAATGAGGGAGGGTAACCTTAACTTCTCAACTAATCGCCTTCGATGACACTTCTCTCGACAAAACTTGACAAGTAACACAACAATGCTTCAATTACTAGTATTCATCCGAAAATGTAAGGCAGGTCGTTGTTTTTTTAATAACTCCATAACGAGAAAAGATACAGATTTGTGGTTTTCAGCAAACGAAAGAGGACAGTTGACTTCATATTTTCATCAGTAAAAGTATCTTTGGAAAAGATTTCTGGATCCGGTTTTTCTGAAGATCTCTGGAAAATCAGCTTATAGCTCCCAAGTTTTACATAGAAATCTATCAGTTTTTTTCATACATGGGTAGTCTAAGGTGTCCTCTACAAAATCAGATTAGAGCGACATCTCGAAAATCCATGGTTCACAAGCTATGGGCGTTTTTCTTGAAGCCTTAGGACTCCTCTGCCGTTAGGTTTAGGACTGTCAGAAATAAATGAAAATATAGGTTACCGACTATGCTGAATCTCGTGACAACATTTGTTTTTCAAAACAAAAACCTAGTGAAAACGTACATTGGATGAAATATCCCATGGTTTCATTAAAATGTTCTACTAACATAATGTTCTTCGCATGTGCATGTGTGTATAATAACACTAAGCAATTTTTATTGTTTATTACAAATGCTACATCTTAGATCTTACAGTTTATAACGAAAAAAATAAATCATGCAATAGTGGAATGAATATAATCACCAAATAAAGAAACTGACAAAACAATAGATAAAATTAAATAAAATTCTACTACAATAAGCAGATAAAAAACAAAAAGAACAGAAGAAAAATACTATGATGGGAAAAAAAAGAAACATTAATTAATTGTAACTGAAATTTTAAGAAAGTCCATTTCTTAACATGTAAATATCTAAACTTTAGAACGCGTGATAAAGTGATTGATCACTATGTCTATAATAATAAAAAAATTATTAATAAATTCATATCAATAAACTCTATATGATCAATAATGAATCATTTTGACTTTCTAGATATTTAAATCGACTATGAAAAATTTCAAAAAACTCAATATTAAAATTGTATGATGTAAAATTGTTCTATCAATCTGCGATAATGATGATTTTTTCTCTGTATTTAACATTTGTTGTCCTAGAAATAATGTTGTTGTTAAATATTCATCATTATTTATGGAACGATTTTCAATCATATAACTAGTATCATTTGAACTATTCAATAATAATAATAATCTATTTAGTTTTGTTCCATTTTTCATATGATGATGAATTGAAGAAAATTTCTTTTTTAATGTTAAATTTTTTTGTAATTTTTTTTCACATGTTCCTTTTATTTGTATACTATGAGCAGTTGACCAAATACATAAATTTTCATACGAATAATTATTACAAAAATTTTGTGTACAATTTTTTCTATTTGTTAATTCTAATGTTGATACAAAATAACGATCTAAAATATAATCAAATTTAAAAAAAAAGAAAAAGAAAAATCATTTTTAAAAATAGACTAATTTACCTTGTCCATATTGTGTACACGATAAATCTTGATAATTATATAAATATTGATGAAATTGTATTAATGTACAATTACATTTTAAATTCATATTATTATTTATATCTAAAATATGTTTATGATGTTGAGTATTATCTGTTGATATTAATCTACACAATAATTCACCAAATGAATTTAATGTTATTAAATTATTATTACGAAATGATAAACGTTTTAATGTAAATAAATTAATATAACAAAATGCTTTATGACTAGTAATATTTAATAAATAATTATCATCAAAATTAATATGTGTTATTGAATGTAAATTAGCTGCAAAATAATCTGAAATACGTTCAATTAAATTTGATGAAAAACTAAGTGTTGTCAATGTTTGACTATAGAAAGCAGGAACATGACGTAGACGATTATTTGTTAAACTAAATATTTTTAAATATTTTAAATTTTTTATTAAATTATTATCAATTAAATCAATATAATTATAATCTAATATTAAATGTTTTAAATTATATAGACCATCAAATAATCCATTACATAATGTTGTTATATTATTATGACTTAAATCTAATAATTCTAAATGATGATGACCCGATATTTTTGTTGTCATATTTCTACTATTTTCATCAGATAATTCTATGATTTCTCGTTCTGTTTGTAATTTTAATAATGTATAGATACTTGTATTATTAATATTATTCCATGCTGCATGAAATACTTTTAATTTAGGTAATTGTGTAAGAATTTCACCAATATCAAGTTGTTGTAATAGATTATTAGAAATATCAAATTTTTCTAGAATTAATAAGAAAATTATGGCTCATTAGTTTCTCTTTCAAGATGAAAATGACTGTGCCATACATTATTATTTATAATATCGAAAATATCAGCATACAGAGAGAAAATTCTTGAAGAATAAAATAATAAGTCTTTTGCTCTTTCTATTTCTGTATCTATTCTATGACACTTTAAAAGATAATTTAAGAATTAATAAAACGATCAAAAATTAGTCTGAAGCTAAATGATAAGTATTAAGAATATCCCTCCTCCTCTTTTTTTCACCTTGTTGTCAAATGCGCTCGATCGAGTTCAAATTTATACCAGAGATAGAAGAGCGAAAAAGGAAATCGATATATTTTTGTTTAGAATTTTTTGACATGATCTTCTATAGGTTTTCTGAAAAACTCCAGTTTTAATCTAGTCACATTATGACCCCTCGAAACAATGATCGAAATGTTCACCACGAAGACTCCATACCCTATCTCATGTTCCAAATTTTGTTTTTCGAAAAATATGCGTTTGTCTCGAGATATAAAACTCACACAAAAAAGTCAATTTTTTTCAGTGATTTTCAGCATTTTTCGTATATCTCGAGACGAAAGCATATTTTTCGAAAAACAAAATTTGGAACTCGATCGAGCGCATTTGGCAACAAGGTGAAAGAAGAGGAGGAGGGAGGGGGGCGGGATATCCTTAAATTCTATTCTGATTATATATCTTCTATAGACAAGATATCAAGTTTAAAATTATTCTTACCCATATATTTTCCCGCTGATTTTACAGATAATGGATCAAATTCTTCCATTTGATTATGACTTAAAATTAATTCTTTTAAATTTTTAATTGATTCAAATGCTGTTTGTTCAATTCGTCGTATATAATTTTTTGATAAATTAATGTTTTCAACGTATATATCAGAAAATATGTAACTATCAACAGATGGAATATAATTTTGTGAAAAATCTAATGCATTCCATCGCATATTAATGGGTAGTTTAATTAACGAATGTAATGCACTATTACGACAACTAAAATATTAAAAAAGAAGAAAAAAATCTTGTCAGCGTTGCTTCTGTGAAGTAAAAATGTGAAAACTTCCAAGTAAACTTCGTTCATCTAATAAGAATATATATATAATTGTAAACGTCAGATGTTGTGAGATCTTAAACTGCCTCAACTCATACCTAAACTTTATACTTCAAACTTTCCATTTTCTTTGGAAATCGGATATGTTCTTGGAAGTTTTCACAAAAATGTAAATATAGATATTTTAAATTATATGACTATTTGATTATTTAAAATCATACCGTAATTGTGAATCATGGTCAGAATGATAGCATTGACATTTAATAGGTAATATGAGATGTTTACAATCGGAAAATGAAACTGATTCATTTGGATAAATTGTTGAAATGCACAGTGTCATCAGTGATGCTAGATGAATAGAATGAACAATGTGAGACAATGTAAACATTTTTATTATTTTTTCACATATCTGAAAAAATAAACAAACAAATAATGTTGACAAGATATGCAATTAGTCAAAAATTATAAATTATTATTTTGTATTATATTTCCTTCATAATGATTATTTCTAGAATTTTTACTATTTGATGTATAGAATTTTTGAAGAAAATAATAATAAGAAATTATTATTGGATGGATCATCATTCATTACCTTGCCTTTCGATTCATTATAACTATTACTGCTACATACACTTGTTTATATCCTGAAATGTATGACATACAATTCATTTTTTTTAAAAACTTACTCTTGTTAAAATATTAACCTTGCTAATAGTTCACTTAGGTCAAATGTAAATAGTATAATAAAATTCTGTTGTTGAAATGAATCATAGTGAGATGTTCAATTCCTATTTATTAGAATGCAGATATATATATATATATATTTGAAGTATGACGTTTAATCTCATGATAGTGATAGATCGACTGTTTATTATCGGAAATAAAAAAAAAAAGAAATTTTTCCTCTGTTTTTCGTCATGTTCTTCTTTTTTCTAAAATAGATCGTGCTAAATAGTTGAATATTGCCTTTAACAGATGCATAGTGTCATTTATGATTATGATAAAATATTCAGGTGAATGTTAAACAAGGTTATTTATAAATTTAGATAATCAAACACTGTGAAACAAATTCTTACACGTTAAAGTTATCCGATGGGAAATAATAGTAGAAAAACAAATGAAATGGTTTTATCGTTTGTCTATCTTTGAATAACCAATCAATTACATCTTATTTCTATCTGATATTATTGAAATTGCTAGGAAAAAAATACTCTAAAATCCTTGATCTTTTGTCAAAAATAGAGTACCGTTATTGAACAATTAAAATGTGTTAGAACAACATTTTTCTTGAGCCAATAATTCTAAATCAATTATAAACACTAAAACTAAGATTTCTTTGTCATATTGTATCATCTATTTAGCAGGTCATTTCTATTTTTAAAAGAAATAAGTGAATTATCATTTTAAAAATTTGATTGTCTATAAAAAGCAAAGAAAAAAAAACTTCATTTTTCCCATTCTTCTTCTGTAAATGTCGAATGTAAAATAGAAAAGAAAGAGTATGGGTACAAGATGGGTCATGTTCAATGACTAGTAGCAGCAATCAGTACTAGGTTGTTATATAAAATATATTTTTTATTCATGATATAATGAAAATAATAAAAACGAAAGTAAGTAAACGTAGTAGAACAGAGTAGATTATTCCATTTATGCACTTTAACTGTGTCTGTCATGAATGATATTTGATTTAAATGTTACCAACACTTTTAAAATAGAAAGAGAGAAGGAGAGACTACATATATATATATATATATATATATGTGTGTGTATGCTTTGTTTAAAACGTATGTGTCCCCTATTTGATTAAAATTTCATTCATATTTATAAAAAATAATAAAAAAAAAAAAAGAAAAAAAAAGAAGAGAAGAAAATGTTTTTATTAAATACTTGTAGTTGGTATCAAACGCCTCGAAGGCTGATTACAACATTTTTATTCTATGAATAACAGCATGTCGAGTTCTTAATGGTAATATTGTATCCGTTTTCTTAATTATTTGACAAAAAATTGTGTTCACTTCAATATCTTTGGAAAAAGAAGAAAAAAAAAAGAAAGAAAAGAAGATGCATGATTGATTTTTGACTGAGATGAGCGGATATTTAAGTTAGAAAAAGTAACAAAAAAACAAAAAAATTCATGAATGATGGAAAAATGAGATTAAACAAATTTTTTCGTTTTTTAATTACTAACAGAAATGATTTTATTGAGTTCATTCATATTACTTTTTAGAATTATAAAAATTTTAAATATTTTAAAAATTTGGTTAATTTATATTTTTAAAATTTTAAACGTCTATTATGTACGATCAATATATTCGAATTTATTTGATGAAAAAAAATATTCTTTTTTTTGACAAATATTAGTTATCTAACTTAAAAATAAACTGAAAAAAGATAAATTTTAATAAAATAAAAAAAATGTTTGAATATTTATCGACTATTACTTTACTTACCCTTCAAAAAAAAATTTTTTTGTTAATCTAACGCCAGAAATCTTTATCTATTTATGTTTTACCATTAGTGTAGACAATGGTATTATTCTATCCATTAAATATAACAACAACAAGAAGAACTAAGAAATTATTTCGATAAGAGAAAACAGAACGAAAAAAGAAAAAAATAATAATAATAATATGTTAATAATATAAATCAGAGAGACATAGATGATCTCAATCTTTGTAGAGATACTAAAAAGTGATAATGTCCATGTGATTTCTCTCGTGTAGGTATATCGAGATCTATGATTAAAAGAAAGAGAAAAAAAAAAAATATATAGAAGAGAATATCTTATATTGGAAAAATGCTTGACAGAATGTTTTTTTCTTTTTCTATTTTTTCTTCGTTTTTTTTTTTTTTGTCTATCCAAACTAGAACATAGAATAGAGTTGATTATATGTAAATATGTCGAAAGAAAGTTTAATAATTTGTACAATATATTAAATAATTATGAATAAATTTAATTAAATATGCCATTCTCAGTTATTATTTATGACAACAGTTTTTGTTCGATTATTATAATTGATTTTTATGATGTTAAATTGTCAAAAATATTTTATTAAATCATATGAAATGTACAGAATTTTTTTCTTCTTTCTTTTTTTTTTATCCCAATGATAAACAATAGGATAATCAGGTTATTTGATTCACTCATTTTCACATTGAATATTGAATTAATTTTTTCAATCAATAATAACAAAACAAAACAAAACAAAAAAGCTAGATTTATATGAAATTTCATTATTTCATTCATATTTGAACGATATAGAAGACTGTTCTATTATTTTAACAAATAAAAGAATCTATTATATATCGTTCGTACGAAAGAAAATGTGAATATGGCTCAACAACAAAAAAACACTTTCATTTCAAAATTATTCTATTTAATATTATTCATCTAATCTAGTTTTTAAAATTTTCTAAAAAAATTGAAAATAATCTAACTAATTTCTTACAAAAAGTTTAAATAATGATAAATAGATTATCATTTAAAAATTCATTATCGAGTATTTGTCCATATCGATGATATTCCTATTCTTAACTAAATTAATGTCAAAATCTATTTGGTCTCTAATTATTTGTTAGATTAAAATGACGTCAAATGTCTGTCTAATCCAAACAGAAATAAAATATTTGGCTTCTCTAATGTACTTTTCTTTTTTTCTTCTTCTCATCCCGTTGTAGATATGTATATGTCTGTTAATATTACATCGTATTATTATTATTATTATTATTGATGAAACAGAAGATTAATATGTCACGTTTGAGTTTCCTATTTCTTTCTCTTCTCTATTTATTCTTGTGGATATTATTTGTATAATTTTTGATTATTGGGATTTATTATAAACAAAACATTATCATCAGACTCTCTGGTACCCATTGATGATACCGAATAATCGATCAATAGTCTATTTATCTGTTTGTCTATAATGAACATACAAACTATTGTATTTTACATCAAAAGCTAATTTTGTTTTTTAAAGAGAATCATAGATTTAATGTATTGTTTATTTATTAAAGTGAAATAATTATTATCATCAAATCATAATCATTGGATAGTCAAAATATATTGGATTTCCTTTTTTTCTTCTACCTGTAAAGATCATCATTAATGATGATTTGATTTAGATTGAAAATATAGAGAGAGAGAGAGAATATTGTTCTCTATTATTTTACATGACGTATTATAGAAATTATAATAGAAAAATGTCATCTAACTACAGAACAGATTATACATTGAATTGTAAGATATATTTTTATACAACGAACTATCAGTCTATTGACATATCAATGAATGTTGTTGACTTCTGTCAAAAATGACAATAATCGTCTAGAAAAAAAAATCATTTTTAAAAAATTTAATCAATTCAAATGTATAAGCAGATATTGACAGGTAAAATTAACTTCGTTCTTTTTTGTTTTTCTCTTGTCAACAATGTGTTAATGATAAAGAATCTATTGACATATTTGTTTCATGAAATATTGTTTAAAATTGTATCAAAACTACTACTATAGAGTCATGATTCAAAAATAGTTTTTGAATTAATGAACTTCATATAGACTGTATAGTTAGTTTACTTGAATTAATAGTGTTCAATTTTACTTCGAACATATTTAAATTGAATAATTCAGTTAATTCATTATGAGGATGGAGAACATTTTTTTTTGTTTTTTGTAAAAATAACACTAACAACCAACAATAGAGAAAATACTATTCTACTTTCCCAGAGAGCGTAAATATAACAATGACAAAAAATAAACACGTAAAATTGCAACAAAAGTTATCAATATAATAATAAATGGTAAAAAAAAAGAAATACAAAAGAAAATTATGATTCATTATCAGATCTATCCACAGTAAACTTTATAAAATTAATTACGAATAAGAGAGAGAGAGAGAGAGAGAGAAAGAGAATCTTGACGCGGAAAATATCATTACTCGAACAGAAAAAATAATAAAGCCACATACGCCTCATTCAACAAACAAGTATCTGATAACAAATATTAAGAAAACAAAAATAATACTAAAAAAACCTATTTTTTTTTTATTGCTGAGCTCGCAGTTGTATCACTTAAACAGATGATTTTTACGTTTTTTTTGATTTGCTATAATTCATTGCCATTACTATTAGGTTTTAATTGCTCTTGTAATAAACGATCTTCATTCTCATCTTCTATTTCTACAATAGCACTTTCATTTTGAGCATATCGAACACCCTTGACTCGAATACTAAATATAAAAATCAAAGAAAGAGATAAGAGAAATTTTATTCTTAGTAAATTCAAGTACAATTTTATTTTATCTAATTATATTCATTATCTAAAGTATATATAATCTGTTTGTTTTTGATGAATAATTTTTCATATGAAAATTAATATTTTTGATGTGAATCTATGGTGAGTGAAGACATGCAATGAACAATTCAATTAATGAACACGCGCAACAATCTCTTAGTATACTCAAATATATTCATTATTCAATGTAAATAATTGACGAAATTTACTTAATAGTCAACCTCATTCATCTTCGTTTCATCGATTGTTGAATTTGCTAAAACTGTTGAAAAAACAAAAATACCGCAAAAAAAATCTTGACGTTATAGACGTGAATCATCTACGAATAACAAAGGATAAAATTTTTACATATATTTCTATCATGAATGTTGAAGTAATATTAAAAATTATCTTTATAATACATACCACGCAAGACCCATTCGTTCGACATCTTCTACTGATTGAGGTAATGGTTTATTTAACGTTTCTGGAAACATGAGTGCAAGAATGGCTGCTATCAATGAGACACAACCATAGAGAACAATGGGAAGTTCTGTCCAAACACGAGTCTAAACTTGGTATATAAAATAATTGACACATTATCTTCAAAAATATAAGTTCACTTACCAATAGATCATTACATGTTGTACCGATTATAGCTCCAACACCTAAAATATTTCAAAATATTTTTAACAAATAAAGAAATAGTTGATATTTTGACAAAAATAACTTACGTGCAACCATACTACAAATTCCCATTCCTGTATTTCTTACTCCTGTTGGAAATAATTCATTAGCATAAATGTAAATAATTGCATAAGAAAATGATGCCAAAAATTTTAAGACAACATTTACTATGAAAATCATTATTTTTTGAGCTAGATAATGAAAGATAAACAAAAAATTTTCAAATTATATAAAATATTTATTGATATTTTTTCAATAATATTACCATTACTATCTTTTATCATGTAAATATTTATGGGTATAGCACTTAAAGCAACAATGGAAAATAATATCACAGATCCACAGTAGGGAATTTTTCTACCAATACGATCAAGTATTAAATGTACAACAACGTATGAAATTAATTCAACAAATGCACTAGCAGCAAAATTTAAATAGGGATTAAATGGCCAACTTCCCGTATTCTGAGAAACTCCATAAAAAACTAAATTTTGAACAAGCCTAAACCATAAGAATAATAAATAAATTGACAATTATATACATTTTTATCTAAGAACTTAACATTGAAAAAATAAATTGAGACTAATAATACACATTATTTTTGATCGAAATAAGGACATTACACCACCTTCTTGGGTTTTATTGTGCATAATCTTCAGAATAAGAGAAAATTATAATAATAAATATTTTCTGTTTGTTAAATATATAAAAAATATTTACCTTTTTTTGTTCTAATTTTAATTGTTCAAATGCTTCATCATCAAACTTTCGTTGATTTGTAGCAGCAATGGATCTTAATGATTTTTCAGCTTCATCAAATTTGCCTTTACTCACCATCCAACGAGGAGATTCTGGTAAAATACTATAAACGTAAACAAAAAACAACCATCATTATACTTGTCATCATTCATTTTTGTTTTAAATTACAAATAAAAAAATAGAAATGGTACGGTAAATAATGATAGAGTGAAAGATAATGTTCTCCATGTACGAATAAAATATGCAAAGAATACAAGAATAAATTGACCAAATGCAAAAAAGTATTCAATTACAATGCCCGTAAATAATTTTTTATCTGGACCAACTAATTCTGAACCTAATAAAGTTAGAAAAAAAATAAAAAGAATATTTTAATAAACAAATTTTTGATTAATTTGAACTTTACCAAGTACGAATCCTGATACAGATATGCCTCTTGTTGCACATGCAAGTAAAAATCGACCAATTATATAAACAATATAACTTGGCCAAAAACCAAAACGTTGTTGTGGAAAAAATGCACATAAAAATCCAGAAAATGTCATTAGAATAAAACTGACGCTCATAATCGGACGTCTACCATATCTACAATAGAATATATATATATTTTCTTTTTAATGATAATATTTTTTTAATAAAATCAATTTTAATTAACTTACTTATCGGCTAACATACCAAAAAAGATTGAGCCAACCATATAACCAACAAAAAATACATTTTGAACAATTGATCGATAAATAACTCGATCACAAACCATTTTCCACTAAAAGAAAACAAAACAAATTTTCTATTCATTGAAGTAATTTCGAGAATATTAATTAAATAAAGTTACACTGTTTGGATACCAAGAAATTGTGTTTTCACCGGACTTTCGCTGTATCCGGAGTTGAAACTTTGGCAATTTGCCGAAAGTTCGGTTTTAGTTGACAATAATTTTTAATCCAAGGCATGACTTCGGCAATTGCCAAAAGTTTGGTTGCAGTGGAAGAACTCACTAATTAGCCATATTTGCCATGTTGTCAACTACCTATAACAAAGCTTTCGGCAATTGTCGAACGTCATGCCATAAGCTGAACTTTTGCCGTAACCGGGGTCAGAAACTTCGGTAAAAACAAAACAAAAGTTCAGTTTTAGTCGAGAGCAAATTTTAATTCATGGCATAACTTCCGCCAGCTGCTGAAAGTCCACTACAAAAGTGCACGACGGCAAATATCGTGTTACCTCACTATTTTTTTATGAGATAAACATGTAAAGTCACATAGATGATCACCAACGGTTTTCACGAAGAGAATAGATCCATTTCAAGAACACATCCTACGTGTATTTTTGTGACTATGAGAGAAAATTTTTATTGTGCTTACTTCTTCCACAAGTGTATTTTGATAATATTGTTTGTCAAAAATATAATTTTCACATGGATGAACTTCTAATATTGAATTTTTCGATATTTTTATATTACAACGTTGACATTCTTTAATTGATATTGATTTCTTATTTTCTTCACAGTAAGCTACATCCGGTTTATAATAATCTGTAAGTGTATCATTGGGTGTTTGACATTGAAATGCCGGAGAAGCAGCTGCAAATGACCAAGTATAAACCATAATGGGTGGTAAGGTGTACGAAAGACATATTATAAAATATTTCCATTTTTGATATTTTCCAAAACTTCCAATTGTATTCAAAAAATCATCATATTTCATAATTAATGTGTAAAAAAAAAATGGAACTAAACTATAATTACAGAGATACTAAAATATGAATAAAATTTAAAAGATCAATAGTAAAATAGAATTTTTAAAAAGTATGTATAGGAAAAAAAGCGAACTACTTAGTGAGTTAGATGCTACATTTAAAAAGTTGTTGGTTTTTATATTTTTATTGAATATTTGTTCATAGGGCACTCCTTTCTAATAAAATAAGTGCATTTTTTTTCTTCTTCTTCTTCTTATGCTTATTCATATCAACACGGATGATATTTAATAAAAAAACAAAAAAAATCAGTATGGAATGTATCTATTATATTGAATACAATGATTAATAACATTCTCTTGCACAAATACTGACTAAATGGATAGAATGCAGAGAACAATAGAAAGAAGACAACACAAAATAAGTGAATTTTTCGAAAGAAAAACTTTATCACGCAATTTCTGACTGCATTAAAAAAATGTAAATTATTGAAGAACAGTAGTTCGTCTAAACTCAAAAATATATATTTTTTTCTCTCAGTGATGCATAGCATAACGTCACAACTGGTTTAAAAGCGAAAAAAAACGACTCACCTCAGAGATATGTTGTTGAAAAATGCCTACTTGTAAGTTAAAAAAAGAAAACTTGTTATCACATTCATAAATAACACGACTGATCATCAAAATTTCGTTTTAAAAAAGCAATAACAACAGATACTGATTTTAGGCACACAAAATATTCAATAAGGTTAAAGTTTTATTTTCGGTGGTAACGATATACTTAGTCAAGCAAGAAAAAGAAATCTTTGATAATTCCATCTGGTAGTCATAAACATCATAATAGATTCATTTGATCAGATTAATTATTCTCTGGTTGTATATGCGGTCAAGTAATAAAATAAAAATAAAAACAATTGTAAGAATAAACGTACAAAAAATTAAAGAAGAGAAAAAAAAACTGTTTAACATGTGATGAAACCAAAAAAAAAAACCAGTGAGAAAATGGCATAGTTATATAAAAATAGAATTATAGTAAATTTTTATAACACATTAAAAAAGCAAAATGAACATACTGTATCGCAGGGAAATAGCGCGTTACAATAATAACAACGATGAGAATAAAATGAAATATTAATTAAAAATATTTTTCTATAATGAATATAATAACAATAACAATAGTCAATTCTCTTACTTAAATGCAAATGGATCAAATATCATTTCTAACGGAGGATTTGGTGGTGGAGTGCCGGGGTCTCCCAAATCATGTACATTATTATCATGTTCTTCATTAGTATTTTGAATATTTATACTTTTTAATGGTAATGATTGAGGCGTTTTTACTAGTGTAGGTAGTGTGGGAATTTTTGGTGGTGGTCGAGTAGGAAAAATAGGAATGTGTTGTGGATGTTGAAATGGCATTGGAGAGGAAGAATTCGATATTTTTGACTGTGTAGATGATGTTGAAGATAAAGAAGATTGTGAGGTTTTAACGGACTGTTGCAATGGTTCGATCTTTTTCACGGGGTCAAGATCGGACAGATTTATGTAAAATTTTGATGTACTATCTGGTGGATCGAACAATAGTAAATTTCCATCTAAATAAAAATAACAGATAGAGAATGCTTGTATATAACTAGTTTATAATCCATGACTGTTCAAGTGTTGCTTGAGAATATGACAACTGATGATTCACCCGCTCAATAGAAAGAGGTACAAGGCCACACTGATAGGTGGATCATATTAGTGCAAACAAAATTTCCTTGATATCTCTACTAAACACTTTTTTTTCTTTATCAACTCTCATTTGTTCAATTAAATAAACATCAATTTGATCAAAGACGATCGAACGGATATGAATATCTTTCACTCATTGGAGCACATACTTGTTGTGTCTGACGACTTTTTTAATGTTGTCTGTGTTGGTCGTCGCTCTTCATTATTCTTGACATTAAAGTGGAATGGATCAAACACATTTTGCTGAAATAATGGCTAAGAGAAAAAGAAAAAAACAGACACAAATGTCAGTATATTTTAATTTCAGAAAGATTTTCGTTTCTCACTTGAGCGGATGTCGGTAACGACGGTGCAATGGTTATAAGATCGTGAGATTCGGGCTCTAATGATCTCAATTTGGTTTCATATTGTTGTTGTTGTTGTCTAACTTCTCCATCAACGCTTGAAGAAGTATCAGCAACTAAGACAAGAAAGTAAGGTCGTATAGATGAAATGGTAAAAAGACACATTTTTTATTCCTATTGCAAGAGTTTCAGAAAAAAAAACTATTTATCATTAAACAAGTCCTATAAGTTAATGAATTTGGCATTCATACATCTAAATCAACGATATATTAAACAAATTTATAATAAAAAAAAAACAAAAAAACATAGAAACAAATAACGGCTATTTTAACATAAAAATAATTAAGTTCATAGAACGATCGAAGTACATACGACTTTTATAAATATTATTTTTTTATCGAACTGAAATCAATAAACTATTCGCTATATAATCGATTTTTAAAAAGAGTTAGTTATTCGAGATCGTTACCAGCAAACTATAGCACGAGAACTTTAGAAAGATAGAAAATGTATATGAGCATTGAAAATTTTATTTCTCATTTATACAAAAATAAAATATTCTGTTATAAATCTAAACTCTCGGTCTTAGCATAAAACAGTTACAGAAGAAAGAATTTTAATACCTGTATAATGTGTTGCTTTGAAAATTGAATCATTTTGAAAATTTACGCCGATATATATTATATACAACAAAGATAAATAAAATAAAGAACAATAAATAGTCTGAATTATACACGTAGGAATTTATCCTTTGATAAAACCATATTTCTTTAATATATGTCTGTTATATAACACGTAGAAGATTTCTATTCAGATCGGAAAAAGTTTAATATTAAAATCAATATTTTTATTCATCAGTATTAGTCTAGTTAGTTGTCTTATACAATATCTCAATAAAAACAAATAATAAAAAACAAATAAATTTTTTTGACTAGACAGATAAAATACGTGATCATAATAGCTTGATTAGGTTTGATGAACACATATGCCTCATTACTGTTTTCAAAATATGAGAAAATGAAAACCAATAAAAATGAACATATAGAAAAATAAATAGTATTTTAAAAATAAGAAAAATATAAGAGTCAAAGTAAGCATCTTATTTTTAAAATTTAAGAACTATTCATAACTTCTTATCACGAGTATTCATATTGACTCTATTTCTGTTAGAAAAAATGTTTGAAAAATTCAATAATAAAAGAGAGGAAAAATATTGATTTGAAAATGCATATATACTAAGTGATAAGATAAAATAATATTATTATTGATTCGATACAATCCAGATCAACTGTTTGCTAATGAAAAGAAAAAAAGAATTGTGCATATACTAAATATTTATATTCTAACAAGATTCAAGGAACTTTCTGACGTTCTTTTTCACAAACACTGGAATGTTGTTATTGATCTTCATGAGAATGACGATGATGATGATGATGATGATGTTTAAAGGGTTTTGCTAATTTTTTTGCCATTTTTACCATGGATGTTTGTGAATGTAACTTTGGAGATTGTCCTGTTTGCTCTTGTTTCTCATTCTTTTCTACTTCATTTTCATCATCCGAATCACTCTGGTTGTGATTTTCATTCTTCTTTTGTACAGATCCGTATGTCATGTCTCGAACCAATTCAGCTAAATCTTCATTTTTATTTTCTTCAATTATTTTTTGTCTTAGATGTTTTTCATGTTTAAGCGAACGTTTTATTTGTTTTGTATGAACATTTCCATATGTTATTTGGCCATCATGTTTTTTCATTCGACTACGTTTATATTGTTTTAAATAATGTTTTGGTTGCCATTGTTTGACAGTTTCTTCAAGATATTCTCTGAATGGACCTTTATGATGCTTATGAATCTTCTTTTTTGAAATATGAAGTTCAGCCAAATGTTCGTCGTAGGAAGAGGACGATTCCGAACTTGAACCATACGGGCTACTAGTGCTTGAATGTGAATCAATATCACTATCATCCGATGAAGGTGTTGTATATTTATCATTATCACTACTACTATTGGCAACAATTTCTTTATCTTTTCGAATTTTTACATCAGCTATCTGTTCACCATGTTTACGACGTTTATGTTCAATAGTACGTGCAAGATCATGGACTATATCTAAATGGTTTGCAATTTCTTCGTCTGATTTTACTTTCACTGGTTCTCCATTATTTTCATATTCAGGCATCTCAATATTTTCACTAACTAAAAATGACAAAAAAACACAAAACGATCGTTGTATGTGTATACACTTATACACAAATTCTTATTAATAGCAAAAAATATTTTATTTTAAGTTAATGCAAAAACATATCTACTGAAAGTTGTTGACGTTTCAGTATTAATGGCGACATAAATTTCATCATTTTAACGCTAATAGTATACAAAATCTAGTGACAATTTTTTGTTACTTAGTTTCTTTCTTTCTTCATGCGCACGTATTAACACTGTCAATATCAATCATCGATCAATTTTAATGTTGCAATTATTCAAGCGTTTTTAGATATTTTTGTTTATACTTCTCACCACTGAAATAGCTTTTTTCCCTTTTCCCACTATACATACTTTTTTCGAATTTTAGCAAAATTTTATTAAGATACTCATCGTGTTCGTCTAAAAGCAGTGATGTCACTATTTGTGTATCTTGTTTCTTTTTTTTTTTCTTGAGCAAGTGATTTTGATATCGCAGTAATAAATGTTGATTAATTAGATCAGTATAGCTGTGGCTAACAACTAACCGAATGTCATATTTTACAATTAAAAATGAGAAGAGAAAATATTCACTCTTACCGACACCAGCGACCGTTACTTCTTGTTCAGTTGATAAACTTTCTTTTGATGGCTGTTGGTAAGGGCCAATATCACTAGAAGAAAATATACACGATATTGAAAATAAATAGGAAGAGAAAATATACATCGTTTTTAAAAATGTACAGGCAAAAAATATTCATGTAGTTATTCAAAAAGTAGCTTACTGTTGTAAAGCAGATTCGGGATACATTGTTTCATTTACATTGGAAAATAATAAATTTAATTTTTGCATAATAGCAAACTGTTTGTCTTCGTCTGGTATACGTTTTCTGAATGTGGTACCATTTGGCAACTAAAGGAAAAATATATAATTCTCAATAGAGAGACTGTTATATGACTTATCAAAATAATATCTGTAATTTTTAAAAAAAATGTATAATACCTGATCTTCTTCTGGTTTACTAACTCGTCTTGCATAATCACCATGTTCGAAGAACATATTCAACGTTAAAAGTGATTTATTCCATGAAAAACTAAAAGAAGAAAAAAAGAAGTAAAATCAGTAAAGGAATGATCTCTAACAGAAAGACATACAATTTATCTATAATATACGAATCGAGATCATAATTTTTCTTGATGTACAATACAAATTCATCCAACATATTTGCTTTTCTATCGATAATATCTGATCTCATGATCATATCAAAGAGAATAAGTCCATTTGTTGGTGCAAAACGTTCATAGATCTTTATATATTCATGATATAATTTTACTTCATCACATACTTCTACTTCAATAGCGAATATACCACTAACAGGTCGATGGTCAGATGTTTTAACTTCTGAACGACCATAAAATAGTTGCGTTGAACAAACATGAGGCATACTTCTCCATAGAATACGATCTGTATACGATGGTGTACGAGCTTTTTCACTTGTATCATAATAATCATTTCCAATATCATACTTATAAGTAGGTGGAAACAATATTTGACCTTCTTTAAATTCATGAAACACCTAAACAAATTTAGTAGTTTATAACACAGAAAGTATGGCTATTATCAACCTACTCTTCCTTCAGTATGTTCTCTTCTTAGTTGATCATAGGTAATTAATTGATCATACATATTATCAGATAAAAGTTTTTCTACTTGAGCACGTGGAATTGTTAAACGATAATTAAAATCTCCAAAAAAAAAAATGTGATCATGCCATAAAGCACGAGATGGCTAAAAATTAGAAAAACAGTTTTAATTGATTTTAGAAAAGAGAAATTATTGTTCTACAATCGAAATAGTGTATACAAACCGCTTGAAATGATAATTTTTCCATGATTGATTTATAGTCTTTGTTGCGCTCAGCGTCTTCATTTTGTCCAGCTGAGAAATGTGCACATACAAAACATATTGATGTACTATGTAATACTAAGCGAATTGCAACAGCTCCTTTATTGCCCATTTTCCCACCGAGACCTGTTTTAACTGAGTCAATAGCAATATTCCTAGAATTAATGAGAAAAATAATATACATTAATCTGTACAAAGTAGAGATCTTCTTACTTACTTGACATATTGTGCTAAATCTCGACGAATAAAAACAGCTAAACAAACGCCAACCAATTGATCATTTCCCAACAAAATATATTCATCATTTGGATATTTTGTTTTAAAATGATATTGAACTTGCTTCACCCACCGACTGGCATTCTCGGAGCTAGAAAAAGAAAAAGAAACATGATGAAGAAGAAAAAAAAAGTGTATTAGTTGAGTGTTCAATTAGTAAAAAATAATGTTCTATTGCTCCAGATGTGCATTTCATACCTTTGCCAAACCATATTTGTCGCTGATAAATCACATATTTCTTGAAATCCAATAGCTAATATATCGGGCATCGCTTTTGTATATTCATTAGAGACAATACCTAAAGAATTGGAAAAATGAACACAGGAGTCATAAAATTGAATAAAAGAATATAGTCTAATTGGCCGACGCTCACAAAAGTACACTAATATATTTATGAACTCAGCAATATGTATTTTTAAGTTTTTTAATAAGAACTGATAATGTTATATCAATGAATGATCAGAATAGTCCTTCTATTTCATAAGTGGGATTATCCCTGATAATTATGTCAGAACTACACTATTTACCTTGATTTAAGTTTCTTCTGTCATTTTTGACGTTATCTGGTCCATCCAAGATCCATGAATCTAGTATTTGTGGATAACCCTGTTGTAATGCTGGATTTTTATCACCATTTATATTCCATGTACCAAGTGAAACACGAAACGTTTCCTTTTTTATGTAAGATTTTCGAATATTAAACATTTCACTCAACACAAGTCCATCAGCTGTTTTTAATAAATAAACATTAGAATAACCAAACAGAGACAAAAGAAAACTATCAACTCACAAACGACATATGGTGTTAATAGTGCAGCAACTGAGCGCTCATGTAAATAAGAATCTTTAGCATACGAATAGATTAATGTTTGTATTGACTGTTGTTTTTCATCGTCACGTAGATTATTTTGAATAGCACGACCAACACTTCGTTGAATATCTTTGGCCTGGAGAAAAGATATAAAAGGTGGATTTTACTTTCATATGAAGGAAAGTTAGTCGCTGTGTTTATTTGCCAACGGGGTGATAAACGCAAAAGACTCGCAGTTAATGATCGTATTTAGCTCCTGTCTCTCGGATTAGCCATAAAATTAATGCTACTTTGTGATTCAACGCTAGTACTTTGCATAGTGTGCTTTCTCTTCTAAAAACTGAATTATATCTCTTTACCTTACTGCGTTGTAACAATGCACCTGTACCAGTATATATTCGGCTAATATGATCACCATTTAATACCCATAAACCTTTTAAATGCTCAACTGTATTATTTATATGTTTTCGTTTCAATGTTGCTAATTGTATTTGTAATACCTTAAACGAAAACAATACAAACACTCATGAACATATACCATAGAATAAATAAACATACGGCTATGCCAATTGTTAACTGAACATTATTCGTACGATCTAGACAATCAATGCAATTGACACGAAACACACCTTGTTGTGAACTAAATAGAGAACGTAGAAAGATACTGTCACTGAAACGTAGATTACACTATCTAACCATTGCACAGCTTTATCCATATACGTAAAACAACTGTAACGTTCAATCAATTGATTGCATGGATACTGTGAATTTTGTATCAGCAAATGATCAACGAATTGTTCTGGTGTTAAATTTCGAACTGTTGTACTTTGTTTATGATATTCAAACCAGATAAAATCTTTTTCTTTTATAGATGATTGTGGTTTGTCTTTTTGTTGTTGCATTTTTAGCTGTTGATTTTTGACGAATAACGTAAATAATTTTTTATATTCTTCGCCAATCTTCGCTTCATGATTACCAGTTTCCACAAGATTAAGAATCGTTATACGACCATAATGATGATAAAGACTTTTGAAATGTCTACAAAGAAAATATTGTTGTCAATTTACGTCGTATACACATAGATTTTAAATGTCTCAAATTCAGTAGTCGATTTTGGATGTAGTAAGTAACGGATACAACTTACTCAAAAAATGCCTTGTAACTAAGAGCCTCACTTCTCGAGATAGTAATACGATGTGTTCCAACCTACAATAACAAGAAGGGTAAGTTAGATATATTTTTATCACATAAGAACAGAACGAAAAAAATCAGCAAGTCGGTCGAGTTGATAAAAATACATAGTATATTTAATTGAAAAGAACTGCGAACAAAAACGATCGGTCAACCGAAGTTGACCCGTCAAAATATTCTTAAACATAAAAATCTGAACGTATTCTTTCACATTCAATTTAACACAAAACAAGCGTAATATTTCTTTACCTGAAATTTAGGCTGATACCAGAAGATAGGTATAGAACCACGAATAATGACAAACGAAGAATAATGTTTGTGTTTTGGAATTACAACAATCTTAAACATGCAAAAATGTAAATAATAAATATAAGAGCAAAATCAGATCGTTACTTACTTGTTCAGTTTCAACAAAATTTGCCACTGCACCGTCGTCATTCACACCACGAACATTAAAACGTGTACCAGCTCGTTCACAGCTCAGTCTAGACAGAAAATGCAATGAATTTAGATACATGTTATCCGTCAATAATGAAACGAATCAACCTGGAAATAAGCCATAATTCAACATCATCTGAAGGATTTCGATAGGTTTCTATTCCACCGCACATAACTTTTGGTATCCAATAACGAACATCCACTCCGAATTTCAATAACGGTAAACATAAGCCACGATTCCTTAATGAAAATAAATATATTTTTATACTTTTCTCTGGTTGATGTTAAGCTTTTAGTAGTTACCAATAGAATCTTAAATCTGAGTCATGTTCTTGTATCATACGCTGTGTACACAATGTTATGTCGTATGGCTTATTGAAATACATTTTATCATTGTTTGGTTTTGAATCGCAAAATGTTGAATAATAAAAACATCGGGCTTGAAATAATTTTCTAAAAGCAACAGAAAATGAGAATAAAATCATTAATAAGAACTAACGTTTGACATACTTGATTCCAGTAACATAGTTCTCATCATCTGGATTATCGCGTATCGATATTGTTGCTACTTGTGTTATGCCTGAAATACAAGAAAATATTTTTAGTTTCAAAAGAGATAAATGAAATAGATTCGCTTACTTACGATAAATATAGGCATCGTATAATTGTCCAAGAAAAACACTGTCAGTGGCAAATATCATAAATGGTCGAATCGTTCCAGCAGCTAAAAATATATAAAGAAACGTTTCAATTCAAAAAAAATGTATTAAAGGTTTATTTACTTAAATAAAACAAACCGTTCAATCAAAAAATCCGCTCTTGTATAAATAATCTCATCATTCTTTCCGTTATTTACTGTAACACTGCAATTTGCTTTTTCTAAGCTAAATTCGATTTCGAATTTTTGGGAAAACTACCCAGGACTTACTATTTGCTGTGATACTATTTGCTGAACTATTCAATACTAATACGCCTAAGAATGCTTTTGCTTTTAACAAAAGTGTTGGTAAACTTTCCGAGTCGTTTGTGTCTAAAAATAGAGAAAATAAAATATATTTCCATAAATGAGGCGAGTATGATATAAGTACGTAAGGATTGTTGATCAGCACTGTAAAATTTTGTTGTTGACAATGCCGATGTTTCAGCTGATAAACGAATATCTTTTAGTAGACTAACTGTAAATGGTAATGTATAGATGTGTGCGCTATTTTTTTCTTGTTGTTTCTGGTAACGAAAGTAAAGAACTTCATTTTCACCATTTTGAGGTGGTTGTAACTGTATATAAAATGAACCATATTGCAATGGTTGGTGATGTTGATCTAACTGATTTGTTCGAGGTAAAACTTCAGCTTTACGAAACAAGGCAACATCCCACTTTGATATTGGAGCTTTTATCGGCGGAAGTATTGGACGGATGGGAACATTTGGATTTAGCGTATTAGGAAACATATATATCAGCGTTGATTAATCAAACATCAACAAAAAGAAAAACGTTCAATCTAAAAATTTTGTCATATGTTATAGAATTCTTTTAACTTTCATGTCCTTTCTTTATAGAAAATCACCATATCAAATTCATACTTTTACAACCAACATGAACGTCTAGAAAATCATAGTTTACGAGTTTTACGAGTCTGAGTATCCAGTTTTATGTACTAATTCACATTCAAATCAACCTTTTTCTTGGTTCATGCTGAATTGCTGGTTGCCTAGATCAATTCATTTTACTCGTGGCCACGACGAATGAGCTTCGCACATTAGTAAAGAAGTACAAACAACAGTTATTAATTATATTGACAATCATCTGCTTTACTGTCAAAAACTAGAAAATTACTAGTATTTATTAGAGAGGAACGAATGATGAATAAGCTCAGTGATTTTCATTCACCAGTCAAAAGCTTGTCAGTATTCTCCATAGATTCTTTTATACCACTATTTGATGTTAGATCTACATATTTAAGAGCGACTCTGTATTCGATAAATACCGCTAGTACTGATGCTCCACAGTCAACGCAACTATTTTACTATTAACATGATTGTAACGACTTACTCCTAACCTTTACTTTTGACGTATCGTAAGACCATCTAAACCTCTCTTGAGCTAACAAGTAAAATGTGGACGAGATAGACCAATAGAATAAAATGAATTGAGGCAATATCCATTCATATATTCATATTTATTAAAATAATTGTGGGTCTTTATAATTCGTTTCAGTTGTTTACGCAAAAATTCACTCTCTCCACTGGAATAATTATATTTAATATTATTTAAAAAAACATATATAGTCGATCAATCGATTCAGTTAAACGAGTTAAGGTAAGAGTTCGTTGACTTTTAAGTTGTACGAGTAAGTTGAATATTGATTATTTAACTGAAATTATTATTGTTCTTTAGAATGTCTGTGAATGTACGATGTTATAATTGCAATGGAAACGATAGTCCTACAATGAATTTAGCATGTAATCATACAATGTGTGAGTATTAAATTGTCTAGTTTTTGTTAAATTGGCGTAAACATAATAAATTATTCAAATGATGGACAAAATTTCTACATGTGAAATTACTAATAGGTAACATATAGATGGTCTAGAAGTGTGACAGTTTTACTCGAAATTTTCAGAATAACAGTCTCACAAATAATTTGGATTTACACACATAATAATAGCTTTGAAAACAAATCCTGTCAATACTATACCATATACTATATCCGAAGTATCAGGAAATCAAATGCGCACGATTGAAAATCTAATAATTAAAACTAGGCTTATATATCACTAAAAAATAGATGTATACTAAAGCTTCAAGTAAAAAAGAGTATGTTTTGCATTTTTGAAATATATCTTTCTCTATAAGATTATCTACAGCTTCTCTAATAATTAGATTGAAAATTCTGTATCCTTATCATACATCTTCTTTCGTAAGGAAAATTATTAGATCTATGCAATTTATTATCACATCAAGAGTAAAGGTGTTAGCGAAGTAAAAGGTAAAAGAATGAGTAAAATTTTATTTATTCGCTAATCTTCCGTATATCGAAGACAAGCGGAACGATTTGTTATCAGAAAAAAACGAATTGTTCAGCGATATATTTTTATTGATATTGATTGTACATACATCTTTGTTATTAGCCAGCCAAAGTGAGGACAAAATTATAATCTAGTATTTCTTTTGTCACCGCCTTAATTTCTTTTTCAATAAAAATCATCAAATTTGCAAGATCAGTACATCACTTGAAATGCGATTTTCTATATTATTGCTTGTGTTAAATTGATGAGAGGCAGCGACGTCTCTCTTCATCGAAGCTTTGAGGCCTTTTGTGCCACCTCAGAGATTCGAGCCTTTAGTTGCACCACCTGAAAAATGAGTTTTTACAGCAAAACAGCGTCCCACTTACTTTTGTTTGAGTCATTGTGCCTCAAACGTCTCACAGGATAGACGCTCCTACACTAGACAAGAGAGAACACGTTTTTGAAAACAGCAGGACAGTACATTTAGCTGCATAAACGTACAGATTTAAACCAAAGAAGCGTTATTTTGGATCAATGTTGCAAAGAAGTGAATTTTTTATCATATTTGCACTTCTTTCTTGCATTGCTTGGCACACCACACCACACCACACTCTAGCATGTACGTAATATATGCATATAGAGAGAAAAAGAAAAAACTGATGTTTGAAAACCAGATGTTTCCTTTCCTTTATTTCCTTCCGAAGCTAAATTAGCTGAAATTTCCTATTGAAGTTCTTACGATAAAGAGTGATAGAATAAGTTTTTCAACAGCTGACATTGAACCCTATCATGTCTTATTCTGTTCTGAATCAATACACAAATCTTATACCATTTTTTTTCGCAACTATTTGCGTAGGGCCTACTTCTTTGTCTGATAATACATTGAGCTCTTCAATTAAGGCCACCGTTGTCGTTCAACAGCCGGTGCATCCTTTGTCGATGGAAAATTGCGATGTAAATGTGGTATGGCAGACGATTTTGATTATCAAGGACAAAATCTACCAAAACAATTTGTTAGCGGTGATGGCTATTTTCAGCAAGTAAATGTTACCCTAAACTACTTTGCAGATTAAAATCATGATTCATTCATTTATCTAGACCTCTCCACCACCGCCACCACAACCACATCACTCGTACAGACATAATATACCACCAAATCCAATGCAAATTGCTGAAAAACTTCAATTAGTTCATTTGTCTGGCGCAACATCTTATCCTCCCGCTCCGCAACAATTTCAAACTCCGATGCCTCATGGTTCAACCCATAATTATTATCCATATTATCAACGTAAGTCTTGTGCCGAATATATATTTTGAAAATATATTTATTCATTTTTTTCTTTCGTTTTCAGCTGAAGCACCTATAACACAAACATCGCAGTATAATGGCATGAATTATAATAGTGGTGATCGTCCAGGAAATAATGTCAGTCGTGTAAGTAGCATTATATTTATTATATTTATTATTATAAAGTTTTTCCTGTCATTTTCAAGCACAAATCACTCACTCGTCTTAACAAGATATCTTTTTTTTAAACATCAACCTCCCCATTTATGTTTCCCAAATGGAATGAGCATTGTCTCGGAAAACTGTCATTTTTATCTGTTGTTAATCTTTATAAAATCAGAACTATAAATTGAGAGATACTTCTAGTAGATATTTTTCTTGTAACATACGAAACTATCTAATTGCTGAACGTTTCATCAGTTCTTGTTTACAAAGCGCAGAAAGGACGGTGTCTTTAATGAGCACGAAGTAAATAGTCATTTCAACAAGTAAGAAGCTTTTCACGCTTGTCGCATGTATAAATTAGTTTAGTTACAACTAGTCAACGTTGCTCTCATTTATCATCACAAGCGAGTTTGACTTCTAATTACTCAGAGCTTGATCGTCTACTCTCTTGTCTTAGTCGAATGTCATACTTCCTACGCCACAAGTAAATGATGCCGCTCCATCTACAACAATAAAAGCCACTAGCACAGCGACAACGACCGTTGTTGAAACAACAGAATCGACTCCCGTGACCGATGATCCATCAACTGAACATACACAATCCACTAAGTTTGTTTACAATTTAAAAAATTATCGTTATGATTATTTTTTATCTGATTTATATTGTGATTTTGACCCTGTTTTCGGTAAATTTGGTGGTCCAACTGGTATTTGTGCATTGCCCGATGATCGTCTATTAGTGGCTAATTTTGATCGTGATTCCGTAATGTTAATTGATATTACGGGAGTTGTACACGAAATATACAAAGATTTACCTACACCCAAGGCTGTGGTTCATTTTCCATCATCACCACAAGCAGTTGTTGCCACTCGTAAAGAAGTTGTACTATTAGATCTAATAGAAAACAAAGTAATCACTCGTAGTAAAATGAAAGGATTTTATCCATGGAATCTTCAATATTTGCCAGAACAAAATGTTTTCGTAGCATGTGATCCAAGTGGAGAACGCTTAGTATTTTTAGATACAAATTTAGGTAAGTAATTAAATATTTAGATAAAAATGAAAAATTAAACAAATTATACATCTTTACTTTAGTTGAAATTGATCAATGGTCGTTAACTGATCCAGATCAGGAACAAGTGCGTCAACAACAACCACAATTATATCAGAAAACTTATCCGTATGCTGCCTATTTTCTACCTGATTCATCATTTGTGTTAACTCATCGTCAAGATAAATGTCGTATATCGGAATATGATAGTGTTGGTTTAATAAAATCAACATATGACATACCACAGTCATTACAATCATTTTCATTATTTGTTGATACTGAACGAAAATGTTTATTAACAGATAAACTAAATCATCGTCTTGTATCAATAGATGAAAATAAACAAATTGAAGAATATAAATGTAAATCAGTTGTTGAACCGCATTCATTAACATTTTTATCAAATGGCACAATGTGTATTACAGATTGGACAAAAAGTCATCGTACAAGTGGTGGAATTAGTATTATATCAGCAGAAGATTTACAAAATTATGAAGCATAAATTTTTTATTTATTTTTAACCGAATGATAGAGAAACAATTCAGTATGTATGAGAGTGAGTGTACGTGCCCTTTCTTTTTCTTCTCTGATAGATAGTGTTTATTTGTACCTCTCATTCTCATATTTTTTGCTCTTTTTTTTTTATTGTGTATTTGACAAACGTTAGAGTGGAGAAAAAAAAAAAAGATCGCATTTAATATAGATTATTGTTGTCAACACATATATCTCTATGAACGATGATCAAGTTTTTATGAATAGTTGAGTATATGTGCTTTCGTTTCTTACCTTCTATCCTTTCACTCTTCTTTTTTTGTTTGCTGTTGTTGTTGATGTTGTTATTTAGATTTTTTTTTTTTTGCTTCTCTTTTTTGTTGATGTTATTATTGTTAAGATAGTTATTAGACGGAATACACAAACAAAAACATACATATTTCATTTTAAAAGATTTTACATTCAAAAAAAGAAATTAACTACTAAAAAACAGAAGACTAATAGTCGTATTTTGTGAATCGGTTTTTGAAACCTTTATAAATCATATTTCTAAGCAGTGATATGATTTTATGATATTGAACAATTTACATACTTCATATAAGAATTATTATTTTTCTTAATTTCACAACATTCTCAAATGATCTTTGATCCTAGTTTATTAACGAATATACTTGTTTTGTTTTTTTTTTTTGTTTTTTTTGGACAAATTGTAATAGATATTCTCTATCGACAACTATATTAAAAAAGTTAAAAGAAATACACATACAGAAATAGAAATATAAAGAGAAATAACATGAAAAGAATATCTTTAATATTCTTTTCCTATATTAAGTAATTGATAAATGATTTGTGTTCATCATCGATAACAGTGAATTTGGTATATTTTTCATATTAAAAAAAAGTAAACGTTTTGCTCGATTTTGTGTTTCACTCAATGTAACCAATCTCCAATTTAAACGATCAAATATAACTGACCATGGTCTTTCAACATTTAAAATTTTTTTAGGTTTTAAATATTCATTTCTCATTATTTGCCATATACAATTTGCATTATAATCAGCAATTAACCATCCACCAAAATGATCTCTGGATACTTTAAATCCTGTTACTTCAATTTGTCTTAGTAAATTTAAATTATAATCAAATATGAGTAATGCTACATCACATAATATTGCTAAATGTTGTGTATTATCATCCGTAGATATATCCCATATGGTTGATGATTCTAAAATATGTTTAGCTAAACAATTTAATTTATAATCATAACGTTCTAATAAAAATTGAGTAGATGATGATTGTGTTATTGATCCTATTTTATATGTATGAAAAATTGATGAATATGATGTTGTTATACGTTTTGGCCAATCACCATTAATATTAATTGATCGTAATATTTTTGTTAATGTTTTATTACATAAACATATTTGAGTTTGTGTAGCTATAACCCAAAATGACATTGATTTTGAATAACATATATCAACAATACCATCATAAGGCCACAATAGAGAATAAAGACTTTCATCTGGTTTATACAATATCAATTGTTTATTTAATTGATGATATAAACATAATTGATTGTCACCACTTATTTCAAGAAATCGCCAAAATTCATTACCTAAATTTATTGTACGTTGATAAGTAAATTCTAATTGTTCAAATAAATTTGTATATTCATAACGTGATACTTTTGCATAAAAATCAGGTGACGGAGTACGACGATGGTTATTACTGTGATGTGTATGATGGTGACGAGTATCATCTAAAAACACAAATACGATATAAAGAATAATTTATCTGTAATGAAATAGAGACCATTTAAATTTGATTATATTTCAAATATTTCTCTATCACTTTCTATTAGATAATCTAGTCAAAATCTAATTCACTCGAAAAATAAAATTTATAGATTATTTTGTTAACTTTTCTTTTTCTATTAAAAATATGTATAATTTTGTACCTGTATCAAATCGTGACACTTGTTTGACTCCTGGATGATCGTGTGTTGGTCTCCAACCATTTTCTAACATATTTATCCAATGTTCTTTATCAATAATATACCATGAACTGAGTAACTGTTTAGTCAACGTTTTACTCTCACCTCCTCCTCCCATATCTGTATGTCGTCTTTGTACTTTTTTTTTATTTTCATCTTGCTCACCACTTGTACGTCGAGTTTGTAAATTATTTGTATCCATTTGTTGATTATTTGTAGTAGTTTTAGTATTATTTGTTGACTCTGATCGATGTTTTTGAGTTGATGTATGATTTGAATTATGATATTGTTGTTGTTCATCTTTTGTAGTACATCCATATATTTGATTTTCAAATGATATATCACCGTGAGGAGAATGATGGTGTTGATGATGTGTTGAAGTATAATTATTATTTTTATCTATTTCTTCTGTGTTAATTTGTTTACCTGCTAATGTTTTTGATCGTTGTCGACGATCATGATTTTTGTCCGATGATATTATTTTTCGAGCAAGATTTTCGGACTGTTGATGTTGATCATTAATACTGGATGGTATCTTTGATTTGACAAATGTCATATCATTGGTGATACCTGTTGTTGTTGTTGTTGCTTTATCATACAATTCAAGAATATCTGGATCAACATTTAATGTTGTACGATGAATTGATTGTACACGTTCAATTGGAATATTAATTGGTTCACGTGCTAATAATGTATGACGGGCTTGTGATGTGGGTGATGTCACTAATTTATTACTATTATTTGTACTATTACTATTCATATGTAATGGTTCATTTAAACGATCCGATGTTAAAGATCTTCGATCTTTTGTAAAGGTTCGTGCATCATCGTGGAAATAAATGGACGGAAGTGGTGATAAACGATTATTGCTTGGCGGAGTTTTACATCTTTCATCTGGCGAAGGATTGGGCATCGATCGTCTTTTTTCACTGAATTGTAGTTCGATATTTTCATTATTGATCGTATTCGATGAAATTTCATTTATCTAATAGATAGAGAAATATTCAGTAAGAGGATACAAATTATGTTAATTGTCTTTGTATTAGAAATAAAAAAAACTTTCAATTTCAATTTCATTTTTCTTAGTACCTGTTGTTTATCATCGTATTTTCTACGTAAATTTTTTCTTATTTCTCTTAAACGTTGAAATCTTCTAACTGAATCATCAAACGAATCAGATTGAAATAATTTATTTTTGCTGTTATTATCATTTAAACCAGTATTATTTGATGAGTTTGACGATGACGATTGTGTAGATGAGACTGTTGGTTGAGGTGAGACATTGTTTATTAATGTCTGAAAGTTACGATGATGATTTGTTGGTGTACGTGATCCATCCACTAAATGTTTTTGTTGATGAGATTCAATATCTCGTTGAATAAACGGTTCATGAGTTACTGTTGTTCGTCGACTATTTGCATCATATAAATATTCGGCATTATTAATATTATCTAATGATTGTAAGGGAGAATACTAGAAGAAGAAAATCGAGAATTAAAAAATAATAATAAAAGATTAATTTTTGAATTTATTCAATAAGCTCTTTATCGATAATAAAATCATCTAAAGTTTTGTCATTCGTTTATTTTTTCCAACAAAATATTCTCACTTTTATTATCATATCATCAAGAATCACAAAGATAATATTAAAATTAAAAATATCTCATCGATACTTTACTAATACTTTCAAGCATAACGAATTTAAAAACGAGCACCAGAAACCAAGAAATTATCTTTCTTAAATTATCGACTAGTTATTTTGAAATGTATCTACATTTTTTTTATTTATTACGTAATTTACCTATATAAAGATGAGATTTCTAGGAAGAAAGAAAGTATCAAGGACTAATGTTAATTGAACCAAAAGTTACTGTGTCCTAGAATATTTTATTCAAATAACAATAGATCTCTGCAATATTTGTTAAAAATTGATTTAATTTTTAATTTTTATATTTTCATGCTATCGTATGTCTGGTGAATAATTGAATAGTTTATGTAATATTATTTACGGTTATTTTTGTGGGTCTATCTGAACGTTATTTGATATGATCAAAATGACTCTTTTCTCCCTTCATCATCATCATCATCATCATCATAATCACTATAAGCACGGTGTGTTTATAATCGTGTTAGTACGTGTCTACTCGGTTTATTCGTTTAATCATTTTATGTGCGTATGTATTGTATATATCGTCTACTTATGATAACAATATATTATGATTAAATTCAATTAGAATTTATTCAATTTACTCTTCTATACACACAATTTGATTTAAACATTTTAAATCTTTAATCAATTTAGATACTTTTTATGCTTATTCATTCATTCATTTCTTCAATCAACAATTTTTTTTTACGTAAGACTAGAAAAATATCATTTCCGATAATATAACAAAAGGTTATGTTGAAATGTATACTACTGTTACTACTACTACTACGTATTTAAACATAGATAAAAATATACTTTGATCTATTAATTATATTTTATGTTTATAGACAGACCTTGGCTCTAGTGAAAAATGAACTTATCTTTTCAAAAGAGAATGAAACTCCACAGTTATTATTATATTTAATTTTACAACACCAATACGATTGACACATATACCTCAAACTCGAACTAACCCTGAATATCATGATTTTATTTGACTTTCTTTATAATTAGAGATTTTGATGATTTTATATCCTTGTTAATCATCGAAACATGATTAATGCACGTATTTCATAGTAGAGAAAATCATATTTAATCTAAGAAAGATCGCTAATCAATGGTCTATTTTAATAAAGTAAACCTGAGTGAACATCACTATAATGGAAAAAAAATATCGTTCAAAAAAAATAGATAACATTTCACCATTAACTTTTATCAACCGATTGAGAACATCTCTTTGTACATATAATTAACAGGAAACATTTTCTACTAGAAATAGTCAGTTGTTAAATATTTTAATCTTAGCTGTTTAGAAATTCTATGGATGAGGATTTATTTTTTCTCTACAATAACTAATGATATTTAACCTTCAAATTTAATGAAGATAAACATGTCTATTCTTGACAATTTTATTTTGTCACATTTTAAATAGAATGTGTTTAAAAGTTGATTTTTATTGATCATACGTAATTACAATGAATCCTTGTTCAAACCTCATCCTATTCATATTATTGACACTGTTTATCAATGATAGTTTCCCCATTAGTATCGTCGACTTTACGTTCTCTTTCATTCATTAATATTGTAAATTTACAATTATTTGTAGATCTAGATATGTTTGAAAGTTTTCTTTCTTTATTTTTATTTTTTTGCTTCTATTGATAATGTGTGGTGAATGACATTAAAAAACATAGTTTTACTATAAAAGTTAACAAGAGAAAAAAAGGCGACCTCGACAATTGAAAAGGGTAGATGTGTAATGTTCCGTATGTGATATTATAGACAAAAGGACATCTAGAACAACAATTCGTGTATATACATGTATTAAAAAGAAGAGAACTTTTAAATTGTAAAATTATGCAAAAAATACTAAATTATTTACGAATAGTAGTATTAGTAATCAAGGACAATTGGAGTATGAAAAAAATGAACTTGAGTTTGAAATAATATAATTACAACAACAAATCAAGTTTATTTATTCTAATGAAACCTTTAAGGAAACAAAAATTTCGTTTTCATCAAAACTCAATAGTTCTAAATTGACTGATACTAATTATATATCCAACCTCTTAGACATGAGTACATTCTTCAAGGATAATTGAAAATTCTAGAAGATTATAATCAGTTTTCTGTTTTTAAATAAGAAATCTTTCTCAGCTCTACGTTTTTACACTTGGATTGATTAGTGAGTGTAGAAGAATATTTAACACATCCTTTATGATTATGCTTTATACCAATAAAGTATAATAATTATAGGAACAGATAATACTGTATTCCAAAACAGAATGATACTTACCAACATTCTCTATAAAATAATTTAAAAAACGTTTTTTATATATTTAAAGATTTTCCACAGAGAGACTATGTTAAACCATTATTCTTACCTCATCTGTTGATAATGATGATGCTGATTGAGGACTTGTACATATGTCTAATACTCGTTTTAATTCTGAACCTAATTCGTGTATATCATGTGAAGATGGAGTAGTTGTTGTTGACGAATGTTTATTAACAATTGAACTATTTTTTTGTTGTTGAATTTGCTTTGTTGTTGATTGTTGACTTGTTGCTGTTGTTTGTATCTCATCGCCAACATCTAAACTATTTGGATCAATACCATCAGCTAATATTAATTTTGATTGTTCTAATTCTTCTCTAATCGATTTTAAATTAATACTAATACGTTCAATTTGTTTTGTATTATCATAACCTAATGGTTCAGAATTCCATCGTCTTGGACCGGTTGTCGACTTTTTACGTTCAATTTTTTCAACAAATAATTGTGTATCAAATTCTAAACGTTCAAATTTATCTAATAATGTTTTTTCTAATTGTTTTTGTTTCATTAATAAACGTTTAATAGCTGCTTCACGCCAATGTTTTAATTTTTTCACTGCTCGTGTACGTAATGTTGGTAAATCATTTAACATTGAACGTAATTTATGTATAAGTTCTTCATTTTGATATTGATGACGAATAATATCAGCCATTTCAAGTTATGAAGACGTTTAAATAGACTCTTCTTGTGTATAGAAAGATATATTGATTTTCTCTATGTACGTATGGATTTTATTTTTTTACTAATACGTTTGTTCCATTTTAAAGATAATGTGAATATATTGATTCTGACAACTAAAAGATGAAGAAAAAAAATATAAAGAGATTCAAAGCAAACATAATCTAAGCAACAATAACAATTCAGAAACTTGAACGTAAACAAACGATAAACGATATGTAAAGATTTTAATGGGAAAAAAATTCGTTTTTTATTTTCTTCTATTTTTTATCCTGTTTATAAAACACAGTCGACATCTCTCTCTCTCTCTTTTCTTTTTCTTTCAATACTGATGATATTGAGATTATTGGACATTGATTATGTTTACTAACTCAAGAAAAGAAAAATAGTCATTCTTCTAAACAAATGTCGTCCTAGTCTATTTATTTTTTGAAAAATATTTTTTAAAATGCATACAGAAGTGCATTCATCCAAAACATTTAAAAGTAATTTAAAAAATATTTTTGTCACCTTGTTATCAACAAAAGAGAATGAGTATATATAATATCTCCATTTACTTTTATACATATATATATATGTTTTTACCTTGTATTGGCCTTGAAGTTAGAGAAAGGTCATCTCATATCGTGTATACACAAATAACTCAAAAGATGAAAAGATGTACTCACATACGTATATAACAGGTGATTGTTCTATAACAGATACAAGTTATAATGACCCTATATAGAGTGCTTTGGACGGAGGCGAGGAGGGGGGGGGGAAATAAAGATCTGTGTTATGTATCTGACGTAGAAAGATTTTCAATTTATAAATGAATACAAATGAATAGTTTTGGCGGATGTTACAGAAGTACTACACGTTTCCACTGTTAGACTCTTTTAAATCTTCATGTGACACTAGAGTCTCTGAAAATCTGTTCAAAATTTTCAAAGTAAGAATTTCTGAGAGTGTACAAAATATCAAACTACATAAGAGCACAAGATACTAGAACGAACGAATATGTTTTCGCAAAGCGATTAGTCGGTATACAAAAAATATAAACAAGTTCGGAATTAATGTTACTTTAATTTAAATGGTGTAAATTCTATAACTATAATACTGTGAAGCAGACTAGTTATGACTAAAACCCGAAAACCACTACATAATAAAAAAGAAAGTCAGAACGCAAAAGACGGATAGAAAGAAGAAAAAAAAGAATTAGTGGTTTTGAATTATCAAAACCAGGTTAAACTGCGGTATTTCAGAAGTATGTGGGTCAACATACAACTTAAGCTACTCAACAGATATTCGATTATTTGACTCGTATTTTCATAACAAAATAGATGCAGTATACTTAGATTCTCTATAGTAGGATAGATCTATCTTCGGTTGTGAGACTATTTCTCGAAAAAAACCTTAAATCATATAGAAACAATGAAAACTACTCGAATAAAAGACTTGGCATTTTTCAATATCTCGACTTGGAAAAGATAAATGGCACAATTAAAAAAGAAAAAATCCACTATTAGAAAAATTGGTAACGTTTTTTTTCATGCCTGATAATTAGATTTGCTGCATTTGTTTGTTGATCGTAATTAACTATAGTTAATTATGATCGTTCGTTCATTCATATAATGAACGAAGTACTTAGACGAATAATACTCTTTTGATAATAATTCTTATTAACTAGCGATGAAAATATACAAAGAAATAAAGCATATCATATATAAATATAGAAGAAAAATAACAATACTATTTTGAAAAACGTTATCTTTTACATGTCAAAGCGTTTAACAAATTTTCTATAGTAGTTTCTCTTTTCTCTACCTGGTTTAAGTATCTAATCGCATTTTTTATCATAAATTATCAATATTTCTGGTCGTATTTGACTAGACATGTGCCAGGTCATATTAACACGTATCTATGATAAACTTATCACTAACATTTGGCAAGATGATGTGTGATGAAATCTTTTTCCTGCGTTTGGAGTATGGGCTATTGGGGTTCTCAACCAATCGATAGAAATCACAATAATCAGAGTACATGCTCTAATAGTCTAACATCTATACTTCATGTTGATATGTTGCAGATAAACTTTAAATTCGGTCAGATTTTAAATCTGTCCGAATTTAAAAGGTTTGTCCGCAACAGATATATACGATTTTATATACGATATTTTATATGGTATATCTGATGGATGTTTAAATCCTACCAATTAAAGTTGCTGGGATGAAATTTATCTTTATAATAGACCAGTGCTGTTTTTCTCACATTTTTTCTTGAATATGCCCGTATATGTGGAATATTAGATCAGATCTACATATTGTTGAGGTTATAGAGTTTATTTATGTTTAGTTGTCGTCTAAAAAATAAGAGCATTTAGTATTGTTCCCAAATCAATATATTGAAAAATGAAAGTCTTTTATTCGAGTAGTTTTTCTTTATTTCTACATGATTTAAGGTTTTTTTTCGAGAAACAGTCTCATAACTGAAGACACATCTATCCTACTATAGAGAATCTAAGTATACTGCATATATTCTGCTATGAAAATACAAGTCGAATAGTCGAATATCGGTTGGATAACCAAAGTCTATGCATGGATGATTAAAATCTATAGTTTCAGATACTTACATTATTCGACTTGTTCGCGTGAAATTTTAATCTCTACAACAACAACAACAATAGCTCAACTCAATATACAACAAAAAACAAAACAAAAGAACCTTTTTCTTTTAATATTTTATTTGCGTCTCTCTCTCTCTCTCTCCCTCTCTCGCTGTATATATATCATATTAAATAAAAAAATAAAATAAAATAAAATAAAGAGAAGAGAAAGCGAGATGAAATCTTTGTAATGGGTGTAATGGTGCAGAAAAGAACAGCAAAACTCAAGCATATAAATTTTGAAACCTCGAGAAACAAAATAAAAAGAAAAGAGTCTTATTTATTTTTGAATCCTTGTTTTTTATGTTGGTACATTTTCGTTTGTTATATTGTCTACAACTTCAAATATTAAATTATCGACCACTAACCAAAAATCCAGGCATCTTATTATTTTTGTCAAAATAAAGAAGATAAGAACAACATATAATTTTATACGTGAGAATCTATTACTCAGATTAAAAAAGATGTAACTTAGTAAGAAGTAAGAAGAGAAAATGATGGAATATGACCTTTTGAAGAAAAAAAACAGAACAACGAACACTTTAAATCAAATTAACATAACAAAAATAAAAAGTGCAAAAAAAGGTGTACGAATATGAATAGTAAGCAATTAAAAAATATATGAAGATGTTGTATCATTTTCGAAAAAAAATATTTATATGAACTCTAACATTTCATAAGAATTTGTTCAAAACTTAATAAAATCAATTACAAGAAATTTTTATCAATAGATGGAAAAATTTCAATGAATCCATAGCTATTTAAGTGAAAGTAATGCTGATTCTCATAGAAAGTATGATTTTGTTTTAAAATAGGAGTTAATGTTAAACATTAACGTAAAATTATAAGTAAAAAATCTTAGACATGGGAAGCAATTTTCATTATTTCTTAGCATATAGTCTTCTTGGAGCAGAATCAACCTGTCTACTCAGTCATTCCCTAGAATTCTCACTTTAATAGTGATTATTTCATCAAGCCAGAGAGTACATTCAGGTATAATAAACCTGCATAATTAACACAATAGCCGCAAGCAGTCAATATTAACAACAAACACATTTACATTTCATTTATTCACTAATCATTTTGCAAACAAAGACATTTTTTTCAGCTACTAAGCGCACTCATTGGTGTCATGTAGATACGATGCAGGATTTTACAACGTCACATGTTTCATCTACTCTGCTAATTCACCGATCAGAGCCTGCATACGCATTGCCTCAGGCATCATAACGTACATCTGAGTGGAAACAATGACTCACATGCACCAAGCCACTAACTACTATCTTAATCATAGATTTGAATAAACATGAGTTATCTTTGAAGAAATGACTTTATTTTATGAAACTGATTAAATAGTTAGTTATAGACTCTCTAAACTTGTTCACGCGACACAACCAGACTATTAACTAGTCTGATTGCCTATTGCAAAAAAAAACAAAAATGAGTACTCTGTTTTGCTCTAATCCACTCTTTCAAAGTAATGGATGTCTTTAGTATAACAAATGGTATTTTTGTGTTTTTTAAAAAAATTGAAGTTTGAAATACTTTTGTAATTGAAAAAAAAGAAATAATATATATATTTTCTTTTTTCTCCTTCAAATCAATAAGAAACGTATTTTATTTTTTTATTATTATTATTAATAATTTTTATTTTTGTTTTCTCTTTTCTCATCGTTGGTATCTGTTACATTAATATTATTTTTTTTTTCGTCTCATTCACTATATACAAGGTTCACAAAAGGTAATTGAAAATGAAAATTACTTGAAGGGTAAAAAAATACTCTAAAGTAAAAAAGCTTTCATATTATGTCAAACAACAGTGCTGTTGTTAACAAACCGGGAAGGTTATGTTCTAATTTTTTATTTATTTTTTTACTCTCGTTAGTACTCTCTATCAATATTCTTTTCATTTTTCAATTTATATTCAGAAATATGAAAAATAATAATCATATTGTGTATATCATTTTATCAATTTTGTGACTAGAAAAAATGATTGAATAGACTTTTTTTTATTGGTCTCTGTTAAGTATATGACAAGTGAATTAAATATATATGCATAATGGAAACAAAATTCTATTTAAAAATTTAAAATCATCTCAAATTTTTTTACTGAGCTAATAAATTGTAATCTATCGATATAACTCTCGATATTGATTTAATTTAGCATAAAAAGTCATGGTGGATGTAACTAGAATGTGCAATGATGCAGTTTTCGCAACAAGAGAAAGAGAGAGAAAATATTCTCGTCTTGAAACATGATTTTAATTCTTATTTTTCTCTGCTTCTAAGAAATTAAACACATGTATCCATCATTGAAAGAACTTCTATCA